AGACTCGTAGCTTTTCGAGCCCGAGTTAGCCTTTTTTAAAAAAGGCTTTAAGTTGTTGAAACGTTTATAATTTATAGTCTATGAAGTGTATCGCACATTTTTCAGTGAACGCACCCCTAAGAATTTGTGAGCAATTCATAGACAAGAAGAAAACAATGGTTACTCATGGTAACATTTTTTATCAGATACTGTTATACATAAGTATATTCAAAGCTGAATTTACACTTAACTGGGCCCGACAGAAAGAAACAAAGTAAACTTGCGGTGAACACAAAAGTCGGCCAGCTTTTTCTTTTAGGTCTTTTCTTGAGACATCATTTTGTTGACTCTAACATCCGTAACCTGTAAATTGGCTACCGTAGAGTATCGTGCATAAAAAAGATTTTTTCCCTTCATATTGTTTTCATATCAGTCGTTTTCAAATCATTTTCCCCTGCCGCGACATTGGACCGGCGACCGCGACTTTGGACCCGCGACCGCGACATTGGACCCGCGACTGCGACCCGCGACCCGCGACCCGCGACCCGCGACCCGCGACCATTAGTCAAACTCGTTTAAATGTGCTAAAACAAGTTAAGAAGCCAATCACATATCCAAATATCTACCCGATATAAAAACAAATGGACGGGTGGAATTTTTAAAGATCCTCGGTGTATGAACCTGTAAGACTCATGAGTGACCTAAAACAAAGGAAATAAATAAATCAACACAATAGAACCTGGGAGAACAAAAGGAGCGAAACAAAAGAAAACGTCACAGGTTCTTACACCGTGGGAACCCTGAAGAATGACAAAGGTTCAATTTCTTAAAGTAGCAATGTTGAAACCAGGGGGTCACTTTTGATTTAAAATTATGATCGTCACAAAAGTCAGTCCTTGGAAGTTCCGTTACTAGGAATGGAAGCCTTTATTATTGACTGACAAGCAGGAGAAAACGCCACAAAATTCAAGATGACGGTGCGCATTCAAGCATTCAAGGTAACATTTAGGCACCGTCCACAAGTATCCGGATATTTTCGAATTCGCAACCTTTTTTCTGCAGATTCGGCTTCCGTCCACCCGTATCCGGTGAATCCGCAACTTTTGAATCCGCTGACCAGAGTCGAAATTTTTGAATACGCTATGAATATTTGGAAACGTGTGGACGGGACTTTGAAGTCGTTATTGAAGATTGAGGGTGCGTTCGATTGGGAAATCCGGATTTAGTTTTTCAAAATCTAAATCCGGATTTCCCAATCGAACGCGAAATCCGAAACGGATTTCACCTCCGAGAAATCCGTCCTCAGGGTGGATTTCAATTAAGAAATCCAAATCCAGATTTCATGGATTTACTTTTTACCGTTCGATTGGGAAATCCGAAAAAGGATTTCCAAAACTGTTCTCGTGAACAGTGGTCTTCTTTTTGCTAAGTATGCGTGCGCGTGCAAGACCGCTGTTCTTAAGGATAGTTTTTCAAATCCTTTTTCGGATTTCTTAATCGAACGGTAAAAATGAAAATCCAAAAACAGATATCTCAGCGTTGAAATCCGTTTTTGGATTTCGCGTTCGATTGCAAATCCGAAATCCGGATTTCAAAATCTAAATTCAGATTTCCCAATCGAACGCACCCTGAGATTCTACTGGATTCCAGTATTTGTCAGAAGAACTTGGATTCTGAATTCCAATCGTTAGTGGGATTCCGGATTCCGGATTCCAAAACCCAGGATTCCAGATTTCACAAGCAAAAATTTACCGGATCCCTTTAACTAGTCGAAAATTCGCCCGCAGTACCGCCTTAGCGGCCATGGCAATTTCCAACGGTTACGATATGTATACCTCATTGAAAAAACGTCTCTAAAAAGTATAAACCGTGAACGATGAGGCTTCAAGGATTTATGAGTACACGTTCATTATCAAAGCAAATTCAAAGTTCTTTCGACAAAAGTCAGTTATATTTTGACAAGAGCCGCTCGTGCATACAAATCCCTGGAGTGCTTTGTTTAAGGCATGCCGTTGTCTTTTTTGTCTTCCAAGAAAGGGGATGATTTTCAAATGTGCGTTAGCGATATGGCTACCCTCTTTAACTGTAGACATCTCATATTTGCCCAGCACAGGTGACGTTGTGACCTTATTGCCATGAAAACTGGAAACCGTTTGCCGTTTTTTGGAATGCATCGTCTCCAAAAGCTTTAACAATGTAAACTTTTCTTAAAAGAACTTCAAAACTGCTATGCTAATAAAATTCTACCCATAAATCCGTTAGGTTCCATTGTTCATGGTTTGTATTTTTCAAGAGACAACTTTTCTTCAATCAGGTGTATATAACTCCATGTTGTCACTAGATCTTCATGCTAACTTCGAGTAGTGTATTACTTGCAGTGAACACGGACATCAATCCATGCGTCGAGAGGCCGCTTATTGTTACATGCAAAGGTTAACAGCAATGGGACATTCTAGTTTACCAGAGGCTCCTACTGTAGTGATTAGACTGGGGAGAGAAAAGGTATTCTTTTGAATGTTGTACTTAAAAACGAGGCTAGTAAGGCTTATATGACGCAAGTGAATCTGAGCTAAAGAATCAAGAAACTTCTGTGGCTATTTTTGCATAGGGTCTATATATTACACAACTTCAGGAATAAAGTTGGGGGGGGGATGCGTTACCCTCCACCATCCTCTAAATCCGCCCGTGTTAAGGTGAAATCATCACAAGACGGGGAGAATTATTTGGCCACAGAATAGACTAAGATGAGGCAAGAGAGAATGAGCTCATTCTCTCTTGGATGAGGTGGGCGTTCTGAGAGGCCAACGGTACAATCCCAGCGAAAATGTACCCCAAGCATCCCCCCCCTCCCGCTATGAGGCACCGCAAAGCTCCTTGAGTCGAGCAGGAAGTGTTTCGGTTTCTTAACCTTTTTCGGGGGGTAACCCATAGAGTAGAGCATTGGCATTACATATTTTTTTACCTGCAGACTAAAGCACGAATAAGTATTTCCGTACCCTGAAACAAACGATTACGTCTCGCACGCGCTATAGTCATTATTCCGAAATATTATTAATGTATGTGCAGCTATGATTGGTAAAGCAGGGTCAAGGCGCGCGGCCGATTTTGAAATAATTCCTTGTCTAGAAGTTCCGATCCGTTTTACAAGTGTTAAGTTTTAACTTGTTTAGACACATCCGTTGTATAATATCACGCGCTGACGTTCTAGCCTCACGGCCTTAGATACATTTCATAAAAATATATATAACCATTTAACAATCATGTTTAATTTAAACTGCAATTTACCGAAACCTCTGTGAGAAGGGTAACTTGTTATCCTAGGGGTACTTGAAAAGAGGAAGACTATAATTATACTAAATGACCCGTGAACGTTCTTTCACTTTTTTGTCAGGACATCACGTACCAGGTACTATATGCAATTTGGACAATGTGACCAAGTTTTCCCTTTTTTAGGCTATTGTCCATTACATCGAGTAGTTTCATCTCGCTTCCAGCCATGGGAAATATCGTGGACGGTTTTTTTCAACGTGAATTCTTAATTTGTCGGCTTCAGTTTCAGTGAACCTTGTACAAGTATTGTTGTTTTTTACAACATTAATCAGCGAAAGAAGTCAGAAGTCGGAAGTCGATATGCTTCTTTTCGCAGCCCTGCCAACTTTAATTTTTCCAAACGACATTTTTAAAATTTTTCTAAAAAACATTTTGTTACAAAACATTTTATTTTATTACACGAAATATTAGGCATCAATGTCAGCGAAAACGTCGCTTAAAAGTGAATTCGCGTTCTTTCAGTCTTTACGCGATTATCGCGCCCGGAATACCCAGTTCTGACTTCCGATTGTTGACCTTTCCATTTTCAGTAATTAATCTAAATTGATGTCTTTGAAAGACAATAGAGACTTTAAGATACGTCGACGCGACGGTAACCAGAACGTCAAAAGAAAAACGAACAAAGAAACAAAGCAAAACAAAAAAGCAAACAAACAATAGGTTTAGAATAAAAACTTTACTCGTGCATCACACTTTTTTGCACATTTCTCGCCGTTTTTGCACGACTCTATGACGTGAAGTTTCCTAATTTTACGTTTTATGGCGGACGTAAACAAGCGACGACGAAATGATTATTAACTGCTCTTTTCTAAACTTGGATCGTCTCTAAGCGTTCAACTCCAGATGGCTTCGCTTGCATTTGACGAGGAATTAAAGAGGGTAGGAATAGTCCCAATTTTCGGATGCTCGAGGGCAGAGGGAACCCACGATCACAGCAGCCTACTGGAAGCCAAAATATAAGGATTTGTATGGGAATTGATATAATTATCGTAAGATCAATAAGACTGTTAAAATGTACATAAACAGCTACAAAAGTATAAAGAGTTGTTTCTGTGTTGTTTTCTTACTGTTTCCTGCCCTATAAACGCCATTTTAGCACGCCATGTTTTGGTTTCTTAACTAATAAAATGAGGTATGTATACTTTAATAGCTGTTTATGTACATTTTAACCGTTTTATCGATCTTACGAAAAATTCCCATACAAATCCTTATAATTTGGCTTCCAGTAGGCTGTTGTGATTCTGGGTGCCCTGTGGTTTTACACGCGCTGTCTTTAAGTTCGGATACGAATTAAGGGTAAAATAAGATGTACAGGAAAATGTTTGCTGCTCTATCATTTTGCCCGATTCAGAATCTAATAATTTTCACCGTTAATTTTCATGTTGCAGGTTACGAGATTGAAATGTGAACATCAAAAATGTCACATTTTGTTACAATGTTGGTTTTTAGCCAATTTTTATGAGCCTTTATGCAAACAACTGAAACAATCCCTTCTAAATGTCACTAAAACAAAATTTAGCCGAATGAGTGGCTTATACATGCCTTATCCCTCTTGAGAGGATGTTTGATCAGAGCAGAACTTGCAGTTAATATCACTTCCTTTTTCCAATATTGATATAAAAGGTGTGTTTTTCGACTCTTTAAGTTAACGGCGATTCATTGTCGGCAGAGCTGATTTCGCCTGAACAGCGATGATGCTCTGGAAAGCTGTCAGCCTGCTTACCTTGGTATACATATTGTCAAGTAAGTATTATATTTTCTCCAAAATTTCGTAGAAAAAAAAGTAGGTGATAAAACTATTTTCAGCATTACAAGCAGCTTTAGACTAGCTTCGAAAAAGAGTTTGCTCCTCTGATCTGTGATCAGATATCCTCCTTGTTCAGTGCAAGAGCAAACGTCGTTCAATTTCAGCGATTATTATTTTTTTTGATACAGTGTTGTTTATTCGACGGTAGCGTTTTTTATTTGTTTATTCATTTATTTATTTATTTATTTATTTCCAACATTGTGGTGTCGATCATGTTGAGTCCATTATTCCATTTCACTTTTAATTTATTTTCGGGATTTCCTGCTTTCATGGTAAATCAAAACTCAGTTTATTTACTTCTGCTTAAGTAAAAGTGACTGAAGTGCTTAACATACTAGAGAGAAACGTTAATCTCGAAATTGCCATGGTCTTCACTCTATGAATTCGGCCATGAAGTTATATCTTCCCATCTTGTTGTTGAACAAATTTTGGAAGAAACTAGTCGGTCAAATTCTTTTAGGGTACCAGAGAAGAGAGAACTGGACCCCCAAGGCATAAATCGGTTCTTTAGTGATTTCAAATTTTAAACTGTATCTCTTCGAAGGCATTAATGACGATCCACAATAATTCTGATTTCGACTGGTTTATCCTTAGTCCCCAGCAGCCTTTATTAAGTTGACGCGTACGGTTAGCCATAGCCTGGCTATAGCCTTAACGGCTTTATTTTCACTGTTTTTCCTTACTAATAGATATTGTCAGTAACTGTGCTCACATTGTGGGTGGCTCCTCCTAAACTGTTCTACTGTTGGTATATTATTTAATGGAGCCGAAACCAGTTGTGGAATTGCACACATTTTCGTCATCCTACTGAACAGTAATTGCTTTTAGATAATTTTACACGCTACAACAATCATTTACTGTCTGTTCCCTTAGAATTTTAACTGAGTGAGTAAATTGAACTAAACAAATTGCTCATTAACTAGCCCTTTATCCTTTTTTATGGCATCTCACGAATGGCAGACAACTGAAAGGAAGTTCTGCAAGGTCAAGTTACTCTTCGGGTCTTTTTGCCACATATTTTCTAAACAAACAGTAGGTTTCTTTGATGGCAGCCAACAAACTTATTACTTGCAGCGCTGCACCGGTATCACAGCCTGAATTTCTTCGCAGCTGCAGTAAAAGCTGCATTTTATACTGTGACGATCTTCTTTGCATTTGTTTCTTCATCTTGCAGTTCAAATATATGAAATTCATAACATCATTTCGTCTTTATCTCTCCTGGGTATATTACTAGCCAATTTGGTTAATTGCTACCCAGTAGCTGGTCTGCTACACAGCCGTTTTTAGTGTCGTCACGCAACGCTGGGGAGAAGCGTTGCGTGACGACACTAAAAACGGCTGTGTAGCATACTACCCAGTAGCTCAATTGGTTAGAGCGGTGCACCGGTATCGCAGACGGAGGTCATGGTTCGATCTAATCCTGGCGAGCCTGAATTCTTTTCAGGTTTCGTTTTTGCAACTGTATATCCTGCGTGTTTAACTCTGATGATCTTCTCACCATGCATTTCTTCATCTCGCAGTTATTAAATATATGAAATTCAAATTTTCATCATTTTTAATTGTTACTTGAAATCTCGTAATCCTAGAATGCGAAGCTTGCAACGAGACTCACGTGGGTGCAGACAGTGGTGTCCTTCAGTCTCCAAATTTCCCTCACAATTACCCGGATGAAGTGTACTGTTCCTGGAGTTTCACGGTCAACCAATCACAGCACGTGTTTTTGATGTTCTCAAGATTCAGTTTACAGGCCGAAAACAATACAGATGCCGTTCATGTGTACGATGGAGGGAATACCACAGGGAAGATGTTGGGAGTGTTTTACGGAGGACACCCACCCCCTGCGGATGGACTCTATTCTTCATCAAATAAACTGTTTGTTGTCTTCAAGTCGGACAACAATAAATCTTTCTCTGGTTTCAAGGCTTCCTATCAAGCCTTGACGTGTTCTGGTAAGAGATGTTTCAGTATAATTACGTGTAATTACGTGTAATTCGGTACCGTAAAATTCCGAAATAATCCCCGGGGCTTATACTTTTCAAAGGCCCTTTATGAGGGGCTTATTTTTGGAGGGGCCTATATTCGGAGGGGCTTATGTACGCAGGGAAATTTGCGTTTCAAAATCGATTGGGCTAGCTTGTGGTGGAAACGAAATTTACCATTTTTACTTTGTTCTACTTTGTATTCAAGGGAAAATTCCAAGTACAAGCCCTCCGGGGGGCTTATATTCGGAGGGGCGATTTAACGGAGGGTTTTTTGCGTTACGATTTTGGGGGGCTTATATTTGGAGGGGCTTATACATGGAGGGACTTATTTTCGGAATTTTGCGGTATATTGTCGTCCTTTGTCTTAGAAGTGGTATTTTGAGCGATTTCGTAGGATTTTGATTTCGTCCGTTTCCAGGCCAGTGATGAAGAAAACTAGTTCGTGTAGTAGTTGAAAAGAAAATTAGCTATAGCCTGAATAAAATTGTCCCTTCCCTACAGCACCAGCCAGGAGGGAGGAGGTGGTATATTTAGGCTATATAGGTATGTGCCGCCCCAAAGGGTTGGGTTCTTGAGCCACTTTGGCCTTAAAACGGATATAGATGGGCTGAAATAGGGCATTGTTTTCAAGGGAACCACGAGAGTGTATCGAAACGTTTTTGCGCGCAACAATGTTCAGTGTCAAAAACTTGAAATGGTGACCAAAAAAATTAATCAATTTGTTGACTTCACTTCACAAGGTAATGATTTTGTAAACCGATTATAACCTTCAGAAGCCAGGCCTTAAAACGAGTTTTAAAAAAATGACATTTGTAGCTCCGTGTGAAATAGGGTCAGAATTTGAGGAACCGGGAGGCAAACCCCCACCAAGAATTCCGAAGAGTACACCTCGGGACAGTACGTACCAGCTCACTTTCAACAGAGATCGTGAGGCCTAGTTAAAAACAGAGTACAAATTGATCGGAAGTGAATAGGAACAAATAGGATCGTTTTTCATTTTTCTATTATCCCATCCCGAAAGCCCCTTCTTTATTCCACGATAGAGTGTTTTCACATGACGTCACAGTGGCCATCCCAAAACAATAAAACGGCGGCCATGTTTGGTTCTAAACAAATCCTGCGGGAGTTGAACTTTTTTCTTATGCAAACGCTTTCTTTTGTTCCAATAAATTTGCATAGATGCTGGCCACGTTAGTGAAAACACTCTATTACATCCTTAAGAGAGAATTCTTTCATTATTCCAACCCAAACATTTCACAGTCTGTCATTTCATTATCCCACCCTCCGAAAAGGGCAATATTTCAACCCGAAAATTTCCGTTATTCATTCCCATTATGCCTCCTCCGCCCCCGATAGTTTACTGGGTAACCCTAGCATATAAGTCCGTGAGGAAAGTAAACATTAATTCTTTCATGGGAAATGACAACCTTGGAAGGTTCTATGGTGAGTAAGAGCTGGATTGGAAACTGAGAAAAAAAACTTAATCATCAATACAATGCATGAACCCCGGGGAAGGGGCTACTTTAGGGATTTTTGGGTGGGGATGTGCAGATGGGACCCTGGAACCCTTAGCCTATACTAGAGCTCGTTCAAGTGAATTTTGCTACCCTATACTAGACTAAACTCCCAAACCGCCTCCGCCCGCACCCCCCACCCCTATCCCAGAGTAGCTGTTTTCCAGAAACTACTGAGGTCACAAATACAGTCCAGCCAAAACAAATCCGATTTGATTTTTTCATATTTTTGAGTGGCAATTCCAGGTACGGTTTTCCTGAGTCTAGACTAAAATCTACAACCAAATGATCAGTTTCCTGAAAAAAGATACCCTATTCTAGACCCAAACTCTCTGATTTTTATACCCTATCCCAGAGTAAATTAAACTGCTTGGAAACCATACCCTTCACAGCGGCACATACCTATATAGCCCATATATGGCAGTAACCCTCCCCCCCCCGGGGGGGGATGAGCCTACACAGAAACGCTACTAAATGGAGGTCTCACCTTTTTGACATTGATATTTAAGAGAAATTACTTTCCTCAAAGCAAAGTCTCGACTCTGTGTTGAGGCTTAGAAATTGTCGAAATTCAACAAACTCTTAACTATTCTCTTTGTTTGTTTTTGTTTTTGTTTTTGTTTTTTTGGTTTGGTTTAAATGTGAAGACCCTCTTGGAATGGAAAGTAAAATCATTAGTGATGCCCAGATCAGCGTGTCTTCATTTTGGTGGTCCTTGTGGTCCTGGTGGTTCTGGTACTACCGGACTCCTAGTGACGTAAGGTTGAAGAATTCTGTCGGGTGGAGAGCAAACACGGATGATCAAAACCAATGGATTAAAGTAGATCTTCGTAGATACACCAAAGTAACACGTGTCGCGACTCAGGGCGGTAGATCTACAACTTATGGAGTACTTGGATGGGTGACAAACTTTAAGATCCTTTATAGCCTTGACGGAGTCTTATGGCAGATGTACAAAGAGCCTGGTAATTCAAATGCTTCAGTCAAGGTAAGAAGCAGAACTTGCTAACAACCTACAAATTTGTCAGTTATCTGCTAGCAGACTAACTTTGCTGTGGCTGGTTGCCAGATCATTTCTAAAATTAACTGTTGGCTCTTAGCCAATGAGAAGGCGGGTGAGTACAATGTGTAATAATTTGTATAAGCTGCACACAAGGAATCTGTTGCCCTGCATTTTGTCAAACTTTTCTAACTTCAAAATCCAGTTTTTGAGGACTAGACGGTGTACAACGTTCAACAGAGAGGAGAAGTGTAACCTCACGTTACCATGGTAGCAAAATTTTTGGATCACATCAATAGAAAGCTTGAGCAACGACGACGGAGACTTCAACGACAACGGTAAAAAAGAAATAGGTTTATATTAGCAAAATAACAACTTTGCACGTGCCTCACGCGTTTTTTTTTGTATATTTCTTAGCCGTCGTTACACGACTGCGACATGAAACTTCCTAATTTGACGCGCCCGCTTTATCGGATAGGTGAGCACAACACAAAAATTATGTTTTTCCTTTTCTAACCTTAGATACGGTCCCTTCAGATTCTACCCAGAAAATGTTGCCAACATTTGACAAATTAAATGAAATTACATAACATCGATGAAGTTTGAAGCAATGCGAATCCACTTTTTAAGTGACGTTTTGATTTGTTGTCATCCAGAAATTTCGCTACCATGGCAACTTGACTAATGACTTTTCCTCTCTATAAGCGAGCATTTCTATCCTTTTGATCTTACTGACTAATAAAAACGTCACAACTTGTAGACTAACAACAAAGGATTGCGCACCGTGAGGGAGCCCTTAACATAGACTACAACACTCCCAGCTTTTTGCAGAATAACTAAGATACTAAGCGCGGGCTGATTGGCTGAGAGGTAGCCAATTAGAACGCAGGATTCGCGTGATCTTGCCCGCTCTCGGATTCAGCTATATCATAATTTGATTTATTTACCAATTTCTTCGACGGTTGAAACTAAAAAGAATTTTCACAAACATGCTGTTTTCTCGGCTTTATTTCCATGGAGAATGTTGTAACGTGGGTTATGTATATGCTTTGTATTTTCCATTACACTTTTAGGATGTATTTTCATGCATGCTACTATTTTGTAGGTGTTTACTGCGAGTCCTGGTAGCTACAAAACCATCGTTTATAACCGACTGAATGAACCCATCGTAGCACGGTATATTAAAATTTTACCGGTGGCATGGCATCTCCACATATCAATGAGAATAGAACTCTACGGTTGCCGAGGTATTCTTTCTCAGTTTTAGTTTCTAGCCTTATATCAAGGGAAGGGCTGATCCCCCCCCACAAATAGAAAAAAAATAATAAAAAATGCTTAAAGCAAATAAAACACCAGTCTTAACCCCTTCACTGCCAGAGTGCTTGATGGAGTTTTTTAAGGCGATTCTAACTTTTGAGTCTGCAGACAAAATCCTATGATGTGACCATTCAAATGAAAGCTCTCTACCTGTACTTTCACATGATGCTATTTGTTTGTCAAAATTTTAGCAAATGAAATTTGGACATTTGGTCGAAATTTGCCTTTGGCCACATTTGGCAGTGAAAGGGTTAAAGTGAGATCCCCTAGGCTGCCCTTAATCAGCCCTCTAAGGGCGCTTTCCATTTGTTAGAACTGACCGGCCAGATCGTCGCTGGAGCTGTTATTTGACAATGAAATAGGCTTTTCCCAAGAGTTTTTGCTGAAAAACCATCTCTTTCGTGCATAGTATTTAGGATTTGACTGATCTGGTTGGATAGTTTTGATCAAAAGTGAAGTTCTCGTTACTACGAGAAGGGTCTGGTCGGTCTTGAGTTCTGACAAATGGAAAGCGCCCCAAGATGGATGCCTTTGCATATATGCCAACTCTACCGGATTATCCAAATGTGATACCAATCTCCCGGTCTCCAGTACGGGTTACCAAATCTCCCGGACAAAATCGAGTTATGAGCTTTTCTGTGCTTTAATTTACAATTTACCCAATTTTTTCCAAAATTCGAATTTTTTGCTATTCATAGCTTGGTTTCTGAGACATTTTTGCACGTATTTCAACACTGATAACGATTATTACGCCGTTACAATCATGAAAGCGAATTTTGATAGCTCATGTAACACTTCATATAGTGTCCTAAGCCATTCTCAAAGGGACTGGATCTAATTGTGCTTATAGCGGGTCAGGGTCGGGGGGAGAGGGTTGGTCGTCGATCTTCGGGGAGGGTGATGCAGAAGAGAGAGGTTGTTTACCATTTACCACAAATTTCCGGACATTCCGGTCGGGATGTAAATGGTAAATGTTTTTTTGGTTTGTCCCACTGGAAAATTCCGGGGACAAACGGAAATTCTGAAAAGGTAGTCCCGTTTTCCCGATTGGGACGTTCTGAATGGAAATTCGTTTTCCATTTACAAGTTTCTCTAGTTTCGTACTAGTTTCATGTTGTAACTAGAATCCAGTGTAGCGTGGCACAACAATCCGGGAATTTTAGACAAAAAATGGTAAACGACAGGTACCGTTCTTACTGACCAAAAATTCCAAACCAAAATTTCCGGAATTTTTTTATACACCTTTTGCTGTTCATTACGAGAAAATACGCAATCATTTGAATGAAACGGCGACCAATAGTGGGAAGATACATTCATTAGCGCGAAAATACGAACATTTGCGCATAAATCAGATTCAATTACGATTTTTGCATTTTAATCAACATTCGATAAGACTTTTGGGCATTCATATGCGTCATTGGGCATACAAAAGAGAAAAATATACTTTCATTAACGCCAGCATCAAAGTCATTAACACCATCTTGAAAGTCAATAGGGACAACTGACATACATTAAAGTGCAAACACTATTCATTAACATTTTTATGACTCTGTTTGCAATTCAATAACATTCCTGGACAACCTTAGGATGGATAAAACAAACATTAACGCGCTTGTACAATCAATTGAGTGTTCTTTACAATTAATATACAAAAATCGATTTTCAATTAAACAACAGAAATTCAAGCAAATTTGGCCTGAATTTCTGTCCGTTAAATGTATACCCCTCAAAAACCTCGCTATTTAAATATTTTGGGAGATAGGTTTGCATGAAGTGGAACCCCTTAACACATTAAGCTGCGGTCACAATGCCATGTTTCTGCGCAGAGCTTCAAGCACTGCAGTTGTTGTTTCCGAACTCCGCTAGTGGGATTGCTAGGGCTTTGCCCTCATTCCTGTTATACATTTTTAAATTTCCGGACTCGAGATCTCGGCCTTTGGTGTCGCTTTCAGACAACTTAAATCCTTTTTAACGATGTCTAGGGGAGAAGCATAAGCTGTGTACGTGGGGCGGGAATGGCCAAATCTAGGTGGGCTGCACCCCGTCATATGCAAAGCCCACCGACTTATCGGGATCCATTTTTTCCTCGCCCGTGCCAGAAAGTCACCAAAACCGACACAGTATTCATTACTCCAGCAGCTGCCGAGGAAAACTCTTGATAGGTAATATTGCCATAGTCATAGTCAAGTTTCGTCCTCGTTGGCCGCACACTTGGCGGTACACCCCCTATCACGCCCCACCACGACTTCTGGCCGTCTAGGGTAAACGTATAGCCGCAGCCGTTGACGAACACACAGTGGCGAAGTACGGCGTGATTCTTTAAACAAATTCATGCCAATTTTTTTGGGGGGGGAATTGGTATTGTTTAATTGAAAATACATTTTTGCATATTAAATGTAAAGAACGCTTAATTGATTGTACAAGCGCATTAATGTTTGTCTTATCCATTCTAAAGCTGTCCAGGAATGCTATTGAATTGCAAACAGTGTCATAAAAATGTTAATGAAGAGCGTTTGCACTTAAATGTTTGTCTATTGTCCCTAATGATTTTCAAGATAATGTTAATGACTCGAATGTTGGCGATAATGAAAGTATATTTTTCTCTTTTGTGTGTCGAATGACGCAAATGAATGCCCAAAAATGTTATTGAATGTTGATTAAAATGCAAAAATCGTTATTGAATCTCATTTATGCGCAAATGTTCGCTTTTTCGCGCTAATGAATGTATCTTCGGGCTGTTGGTTGCCGTTTCACGCAAATGAATGCGTATTTTCTCCTAATGAACAGCAAAAGGTGTAAATGGTAAACAACCAGAGTCTCCAGATTTTAAATTTGGAGGGTGGCGTCTGTGTTTGGGACTGACCTACAATCAAGCGGTCCTTTTTCCCTTTTGTTTCTTGCCTTTTCCCGGAAAAAAACGTCTGATCGCAACCTCATTCCCAGGCTTCTCTCCTACCCGCCCTCCGTAGGGCGGGTAGGAGAGAACCCTGGGAACGAGATTGGCCTGATCGCAGGTCACTTTGGGACCAGCCCAAGGTGCTCGAGTTAGAGAGACCTCCGTCTTGTCTTATAAAGAGTCCAAAAAAGGGACTAAAGAAAGGAAAGTACACAGTAAGTTTCAAGGAGTTATAATACCTCCTGAAGTGGCGGGTTAATGTAACTCCTTACAGTGGAGCTATTTTTGGGGGGAGTTATTTAACTCCAAAAAGGAGTTTAAAGAACTCTTTTTGAGGAGTAAAAATCACCCCAGATATTGAGGAGTTAAAATAACCCCAAAACAGGAGTTATCCTGTACCTAAAGTTTTTACTCCACTTTCAGAATTAAAGTAACTCCAAAAAGAGTAAAAACAACACTTGTAAGGAGTAAAATTAACCCCATTTTCCGAGTGAAAAGAACTCTTTTTTAGGAGTAAAAATAACCCCAAATTTAGAGATAAAATAGGAGTTAAAGTAACCCCATAAAGGGTTATCCTGTACCTAAAATTTTTACTCCATTTTTGGAGTTATAATAACTCCCAAAAATTACTGTGTACCAACTCTAGTTGGAACTTCTTCGTACACAACGGCTGCCATCGGTATCTTGTAATGCCGCGATATAGGGCTGTAATATGATCCAATAATACTGGTTCTGAAAGTTATGTAAGCCGACCAATGTTTAACTAAATATTAAAAATCAATCTTCTCTTGATGACTATAATCACAAAATTCGCAGTCAACTACGCTCTAATAACGTTGAACTGTGACTTTTCTGTCCTACTATTTTAAAGGAAACTAATTCTATATACTTCAACATTTGCTTATATGCCCAACCATTTTAAATTGAATCAATTTATCAGGTTGCATAGCTTCTCTTGGTATGGAAAATAGAACAATTGTCGATGCCCAAATAAGCGCCTCTTCGCAATATGATAGAAACAGTGGTCCACAAAGCGCTAGATTAAATGGACGAGGAGGTTGGAGACCTAGCATCAATAACCGAGATCAGTGGCTTCAGGTTGATCTTGAAAAATATACCACAGTATCACGTATAGCTACTCAGGGACGAGGTAGTAGGAGATATGGGCCGTGTGTTACTAGTTACAGGTTGCAGTACAGTGATGACGGAGTGAACTATCATTCGTACAAAGCACGAGGACAAGATTCAGTTAAGGTACGCCCAGTTGGCCAGCATTATTTAAGAAAAGTACCAAGCTTTTTAGAAAATCCACTTTTGAGCATAAAACAAGCAAATTTGGCCATAAAATGCCAAATCGGTGAAATTGACTTTTAGGTTTTTTTGATTAATGTGGCTCCTATATATATATATATTTTTTTTTTGCTTTGTTTTTACTCACAAAAAATAAATCTCAGTGGAACTGTCTTTTAGTTTTTGTTTTGTCCCTCACTGAAGTCAGTGACAAGTAAAACAGAAAGAATTTTTCACTACACACCTGAGCCAGATCGCATCTACAGTCTTGTATTTTTAAGGGTGGGGGGCACTGAAGTGAGTAAATGCACAACTACACAAGGAACAAATCATCTGTTAAAACTGAACTTTACCTTAGAGTCAGTAGGAAAGCGATGTAAGGAAGATATGTGTGTTTCTGGAGTCAACACTAAATTCTTTATCTTTTTAATTTGTTTTTACCTCAGGTTTGGGCCTTAAAATAGGGTATCAGTTTTCATTTGTACCATCGTTAACTAGGGTCAGGGTTTAAGACCCTGAGTGGCACACACCGATCCAAAATGTATAGGAGTACCCTGCCCTCCCTGGAATGTTTTCCACCCAACAACACGAATTTTCTGTTGTAAGCATTTCACCCTTAGGGCTGTTGAGAAACTTATTCTACAGACTAGAAACTTACTAAAACCAATGAATGATTAACTAGAAACTGGTTTATATAGCTGTTGTTGTTGTTGTTGTTGTTGTTTTGTTTTTTAAATAGTTGTTTAATGGAAATAGACGGTATTATACAAGCAACGTTGTTATCAATGATCTGAGCCGGCCAATCACGACGCGTTACATCAGAATACTGCCAGTGACTTGGCCCTGGTACGGCATAGCAATCAGAATGGAAATCTACGGCTGTCCAGGTAATTTAAAAAAAACAATATTCTCTCTGCTACAGGAGGATCTTGTAGATTCAACTCTCTTAACTTTGACACCATAGTTGAATCCCCTGACATATATCAACAGCATATTGCATTTAAATTGTACCAATTTTTTATTATTATTATTATTTAAATTGTTTTAAGCATGTCTTACCTCTTTTATTTCAATGCCTGCCTTAAACTTCTCGTATACAATTGATTTACCCAGAGATAAAAAACGAGACTGTCCAGCTAAGCTTGAGTTGTTTTGGGAATTAATTCTCAAGGTACGCCTTTATTTCCTGGAGGGGTCAGATATTGAGGCTGACGCACGAAATATGGAAAAATTGAATAGCGTAAATAAAAGCACACGCATAATTCACCATAACTAGCTGCTGATGACTAAATTTGGAAAAATTTTGTATTTAACGAGGAAATGACGTCCCAAAGTGCAGCGTTCTTGCAGGTTAATGCACCGTTAATGCACCGTTAACCGAGACATTTCACTCGTTTCAAGAGTAAGAACTAGGCGAAATTATAGCTAAAAACATGGCAAGAACAGCAAGAACACAACTCGAAGGGCGACCTCTGCTATTTAGAGAATATTTGCGGAGCTGAACAACCCTAAATGTGCACTATCGAAGGTGAACTTAGCATCGATGGAGGTAAGCATGTTTTAGCTTTGTTTTTAAACTAGGAATTATTTTGAATGAATAATAAAACAATTATTGAATTCGGCTTTCGTATTATATGAAGAATTATGGAGATCTGGAGGGTGTTATCCACCTCGGCCTATGACCTCGACGGATAACGCCCTCCTCGACCTCCGTAATTCTTCATAAGATACTCGGCCTCATTCATTAATTGTTAATTAAGGACGCCTGAGGCGTCTATTTAACAGGGGCGTTTAATAGATACGAGGCTTTTATCCTCATAACTGTAATAGCAAACTCCAGAAACCTAATAAGCTTTCGGAAAATATATCACCACTGTTATGTCTTAGCGTCTCAACCAGGCGAGCCCATGGTAAACAAGCATGTTTTAATGAGTCCTGGATGTGTGATGTAATACACTACATATCAACCACAGTATATAAATAGCAGATTATATATCCAGTCCATCCATTGATAATTAAGTTAGGCCGTTTAGAGATCCATATCGTTTTTTTAAAGCTCAATAACTTTCATGACAGAATTCTTACTTTGATTAACTTGGCATTGCAATTTGCAGGCTCTTGTTAATCAAACTGAATAAATTGAATGATTTTGAATGAATGAATGAATTAATGAAGAGCCGTGTATGTTAGGACAACAGACGTACCCTCTTACAATACGTTTTAACATGTGAACAGTAAGCTCGGACGTCAGCATACAAAGACGCCACTCTGGCAGCCGCTCAGTCTAACCATTTGCAGATGTCATTACAAAAGCAGCTATTTCTTCTCAGTTATTTAAAGACCCTGAGTGTTGGTCCGGCCGGGGTTCGAACCCGTGACCTCCCGCTCAGCAGACTGGCGCTCTCCCAACTGAGCCAATGTTATTTTGGTCCATTTCATTATTTCCTAGTATTTTGCCAGGAACAACTGTCATACGGGGCGTGTATTAGACAGGGGTCATCTAATAGAAACTTAAAAGTGTGGCAAGGAGGGGGGGGGGGCGTTTATTAGACAAGAGGCTTTTATTTGAGTGGGGCGTCTATGCGTCTATCAGATCATTTATAGTATATAACATTATCCTAGCTGCGCATTGTACGTTCTGTGCGTTCCGCTTTATATGACAAGCATTTATCATGGAGGGGGACGTAAGCGGAGTACGAACACCGCAAAACCGCACAGAAATACGTATAAACATAGCGCAGAATAACATAAGAAAACCGCAAACCGCATTGAAATTACCTAAAAAATTTCTAAATACCGCAAACTACTTGGTTTTGTAAAACCGCAATACCGCAACTTGAAAAAAAATTCCGAAAAACCGCATCAATGCAAACCCTTACATTATGACATAATTGCAGTATAGATTTTATTTCTTTCACTGATCTTTTTTACGCTTAGCCTGTGAAGCACCTCTTGGCATGGAAAGCGAAGCAATTGCCGATTCTCAAATAAGCGCATCTTCACAACTGGATGACCGACATTTTGCCGCACAAGCCAGGCTGCATTTGAAAACAGATGGGAGCACATCTGGAGGCTGGTCTGCTCTCACAAATGATGTCAATCAATGGCTTCAGGTGGATTTCGGTAGCTCTACTACAGTTACACGGATAGCGACCCAAGGGGAGTATGGATACAACAACTGGGTGACTGAATATAAGTTACAGTACACTGATGATGGTATTAACTTCCATTTTTTCAAAGAAGTTGGAAACGCATCGACAAAGGTATTATTAGTTTAAACTTTAACACCTGATGGTCCGCCTATCCCCGCGGGCTTTCCCAGAAAATACTGACTATTAATTTATTTGTTTATTTTTTATATTTATTTATTTATCTATATTCATCTGATTATTTATTTAAGATTCGTAGTGTAATGTATTGAAGCAAGGGCCATAATGGTCCCTAAGATGACTTGAATATTGTTTTATTGTATTTTTCAGTTGTTTGCCGGAAATAGAGACAGTGAAACGGTTGTCCACAACAAACTTCGCCCACCGATCAAAACCCGGTTTATTCGACTTTTGCCAACTCGGTGGAACAAACAAATATCAATGAGGATTGAAATTTATGGATGCCCAGGTATTAGGTTGAATTAACTATCAGAAACGTGCTGACGCGCTGGTACATTAAATAACAAGTTAGTGTTATTGAACTATCTTTCAATTGAGTACATGCACGAAAGTGCCCATTTGATATTAAGACGACTTTAACGTCTAGTATGAAAAACGGTAAAAAATGATTATGATGTGAATCACTTTGACTGCTTTCAATGGATAAGTAGCATAGCTTCAGCTCAGTTCCTAATAGAGGGTAGACGTTTTTACGTTAGCATTTGGAGGGGCGTAATGGGGTGGAAGCTTTGACGGTTGACGGTTAAATTTTAGAGCTTTTGACGGTTGACGGTTATCTAGTAGTGGAAATTTAGTCCAAGAGTCCATGAATTAATACTAATTTCTTTTGGAGGAGGTAATGTCTTGGCCTTCACATATGAAATTTCGAAATATATTCAGATATAAGCAAGTTGTAAGGTCTTGTAATGTCTAGAGAGAGTGTTTTTGAGAACATGGGAACTGGTTTTTCCAGTTTAGAGATTATTCAGGAGGCGCCAGTCAAGTCCGTGAAATTAGCTGAAACAGTGAGATTTGAGATACCTTGAAACTTCTCGACGGTTGATATCTATCTGCATTTTTGACGGTTGACGGTAAAAAATTTCAGGCCGTTTGACGGCTGACGGTTAACCCCATTGAGACCCTCATTTGGGAATTAGAAATAATTAAGCTATGCTCTAGTTTTGTACTGATCGTTAGCGTATGCTTTTGTTCCAATTTCTGGAATAATTTAGATTGCGTAACACCTGTTGGCATGGAAAGTGGAGCAATCTCAGACGTTCAGATAAGTGCCTCCTCAAATAAGGATGATAGTTTTACGGCAAGTCGGGCCAGGCTGCACGTCAAGAAGAGCGGGACAGTCGGGATTAGGCAAGGAGGCTGGTCGCCTTTTAAAGATGATTTTAACCAATGGCTGCAGGTGGATCTTGGCAGGTTAACCACAGTAACACGTTTGGCAACACAAGGAAGGGATGGATCAGATGAGTGGGTCACCAAGTACACGTTGCAGTACAGCTTTGATGGAGTAACATATCACGATTACAGAGAAAGAGGAGAAACCTCTTTAAAGGTACGCTGAGCTTTTTTAAAAGGATAACAGAGATATGATGACAACAGATTACGATCGTAAATAATTAGCCGAATGAATCTTTCATAGTATGTAAGCTCTCCATTCCGACTGGCGAGCGAAGTGAGCCGCGCCAGAACACACAAGCGAGGAGCGAAGCCATCCCACTTTGCTCACTCTCGTGTTTCCTCTGGCGCGCTCGGTCATTATTTTAATTTTAAGATGGTCCCAGAACTCTGTCGTTATCCTATAAACCTGTACATAAAACTATACCTCAAAAAGTCATTTTGAAGTGTTGTTTTTTGCCATTGTTGTTGTTGTTGTTTCGTTGTTTTCTTTTGGTTTCTGTTTTTTTTTTAGTCCTCGTCCGGTCTATGAAAGTAACTTTCATAAATATTTAACCTGTCTGACTTTTCTTTCTCTTTCAGGTTTTTAATGGAAACCAAAACAGTTACAGTGTGGTGTATAACAAAGTAAACTCACCAGTCACAGTTCGCTTCGTTCGGTTATTGCCGATTGAGTGGCGCAAACACATATGTATCAGAATGGAGATCTATGGTTGTCCAGGTAACCTAAATAGTATCTCGCTGTTGTCAATTGTATGCTACGCATAGTTTGATTTGACTATAACTCATGGACCCCATGGTACTTGGTGCGCGTGAATGGCGCTTCGCGCCTGCTTCGTTCCCCCGAAAGAGCGCGAACAAATAGCGCCTGTTTTGAAGGCTAGATCGGGTCGGGTACATGCGTCGTACATGACCCGAACAAAGAAGACACGTCGTTGTTTGTGTTATGAAGTACCAATTGGCAAACTACTCCTCCGGTAGTTTTACATGGAGTAGTAAATCGATACAGCTGAATTTCGTGGGAATTTTGAAAAGAGGTGAAAAGAAAAACGGCGCAGCGGAGAGATTCACAGCGGAACAAGTCGCTCCCAGCGATTTTGATGAAAACGAATATGAAACGCCCAGCGATTTTGATGAAAACGATTATGAAACGAAAGTGAAAGCAGCGAAGAAGAGTTTGTTGGAGACCTTCAAGGGTCTTCAAGATGTGCTGAATGTAGATGGCCACACGTGGTACGCTACCGCTGCAAGCGTCATGCCCTCTTCATGAACCATGATGAGGTGAAATCCGGACGTTTTCTACGGCCGAAGCCCTAGAAGGGTTTAATTGCAGGTCTACAGCTGTAGGTGCAGATATGTACAGACCTCATACAAATTGAAAAAGTAATGACAAAAATGAATGATAACAATTTATCAGTAATCGCAAGCATATTATTAATCAACATAGTTTATTAAGGTTTTTGAAGGGAACATCACCAGATTTATGACTAACTTTTTGTTCTCAAAGAATCATTCTTTTCAAGTTGTGTCCATGGTTCAGTCTATTTCTTTCCTCCCCTGGAAGGTGCAGATGTTTCTGCCATGATTAATTGATTAATTAATTTTGGCATTTAATACCCTCACCCCTTCTCCCCTTCCCCCTCCCCACCCCCTCAAAGGACCAATGAAATGTTAAAGGACCAATGGAATCTTAAGGGGTAAGTTATGAAAATGGAGGATTTCTTTAGGGCCTGAAGCAAAAGTATGGACTTTGGGGGTGAAGCTTTTATAATTTTCAACAAAATCTTCAGGGGTGAACAAGGAAAAATCATCCTTTCACGAAATTATTCAGGGGTAAACCCATATTCTTTGGGAGTAGGTCGATATTTTTAATTCTTCGGAGGATGCAATTTTATGGAATTCTTCAAGGGTTACTATGAGGGGCTACGGATGTTACATGTAAGTGCAGTAGCTCAATGCTGCATTGTTCCTTCAGGTTGCAGTGCATAAAAAACGGAGGTACTGCCGATGCTCAAACTGTGACCATGTTCCAAAAAGGGCTAAATTAGACAGAAGATAGATAATAGACAAAAAGGGCAGTCTGGAACTCTTGCTCAGCAAGAATTACTTGGATCAGAGGCTTCAAGTCAATTGTGGATACCACAATGACCAGGGAGGCTTACCCCAGAGATACACTCCAAAAAATTAATTTCAATTTCGACTTATTCCCCTTACTATTGATTGAATCAAGGTTGTATGTCCCCTCTTGGTCTGGAAAATGGAGCAATTTCTGATGCCCAGATAAGTGCCTCTTCGCAGTGGGATAACAAGCTTGGTTCACACAGAGCTCGATTGAATGGGAACCCTACTGGAAAAGGCATGGGAGCCTGGTGTGCTTTAAACAATGACAAAAATCAGTGGCTTCAGGTTGATCTTGGAAGATATACCACAGTCACTCGCATAGCGACTCAGGGGAGAAGTGATTCTAGCCAATGGGTTACCAAATACTTGTTGCAGTACAGTGACGATGGAGTCAACTTCCTTTGGTACAAAGATTTAAAAGACGGTTCAATAAAGGTACAACATACACATAAATAAAATAATTATCTGATTTTAGTGGTTGTACACTTGTTTTATTATTTCAAAGTGGCTCTCTGAGAAAGAGCAAGAACCATCAACTTACATGTACATGTATATAAATTTTTTGCATAGTTGTTTGGTGGAAATTCTGACAGAAACACCATTGTTTACCAAACATTGAGCCAGCCAATCAGAGCTCGATATGTCAGGATAGTTCCGGAGGCTTGGTATGGACACATATCAATGAGAATGGAACTCTATGGCTGCCCAGGTATTTTGAAATAAACAGTTAAATTCCTCCTCTTAAGGACTTGTTGACTCACATTCCTTGGTAGACAAAGTCGTATACCAGCCAGTGAGGGCAAATTCTATGTAAATGGCTTTACAATTACCATAATTCTTTGGTTGGTCTTTGAACTGATGTGCTTTTTTTTTTTGCTAATGACTTGTTTTGTATTTAGCTTGTGAGGCTCCTCTTGGAATGGAAAGCAAGGCAATTTCGGATTCTCAAATAACTGCATCATCACAATTGGATGAAAACCTTTCTCCAGCACATAGCCGATTGCACGACAAATCAAACCAAACCAAAGGTGGAGCCTGGGCGGCCCTAAGAAATGATCAGCACCAATGGCTTCAGGTGGATTTCCTTAGCTATATTACAGTGACACATGTTGCGACTCAAGGAAGACATGCCCACAGTGAATGGGTAGTTAACTACAAATTAAACTACAGTGATGATGGATTGACATTCCAAGAGTACAAAGAGCCAGGAAGCAATCTTGCCAAGGTGATAATCTGTCAAGAAACGTTTTATAAATAACATGTTATAAATTATGGCATTCCTTTGTACATTTGTGTAAATGTGATCATTACTATATTGTGTTTGCAAATAAGAGGTAATTTTTCTGACATTTTTGAGACCCTTAGCTTATATAATCTACTTTATATCTTCAATTAGCAAAAATTGTACCCTTTTTTGCAATGTGTTTGAAGGCAACTTTTTAAACCACGCTTGGTCATTCCAATGAATTAGAATTTCTAGTAAGAGACCAGTCAGCCTTAGAAAACATCATTTTTGACAATTGTGCATCATTCAGGGTGCAAAAGTCTTTCTTTCTTTTTGCATTTTGTAATGCTTGTTGTTAATTTGTTAAGTTTCTTGTTGAAATCCTGAATGAGATAATGGCATTGAAATAATTTAACTTACAGCAACCCTCAATAAATGTCAATATTTTATCAGCTGACATTAAACCACCCCCCTCAACAAATATGGAGAAATTAGAAACAAGATTACTCCTAGCACCATCTGTTAGTTATTGTTTACATAATAATTTCATGTATTATAATTATTATAACAGTGTATTAAATTGGAGAAACTGTTCTTAATTTTCTATATAAAAAATGGGTGTTTGTAGCATGTATTTACGTTGAGCGCTCCTTCACATGCAGTAACAGCTTGTTTCTTACTTTCATTGTGTAGGTTTTGGATGGGAACAGAGACAACGACACTGTAGTGAGCAATAGACTGAATCGATCAATCACAGCCCGCTTTTTACGCATCTTACCGACCAAGTGGAATGACAGGATTTCCCTGAGAATGGAGATCTATGGCTGTCCTGGTACATGATTAGTATACATCGTGATTGTAACTTGAGAAATTACTGTGAACTGGTTTAACCTTAAATTTATTGTGTCCTTAATACCCGTTGGCAAGACCGAGTTACCAACACCTAACTGTACGGTGACCTTTCTAATTTGTCAGACAGGACCAGATTAGGGAGGCTTGGTCTTGCTGGCCATTGCCACGGTCACTGTGAATTGCCAGCAAGGCAGCTTGTCCCATGGTGGCCAACATGGACACTTACGGCATGGTCACCCATGAGTGTCTACATTCATAGTCACTCGATGAGGGATGCTGGAGCGGCATCCACCAGCGAATTGTCAGCCTGCATGGAAAACTTAGCTGCCTGAATGAATGAATGAATGATTATCGCCTGAAAAGGCTTTTTGCCCAACACTATAAAAATTAATTCTATGAAACTATGATTTACATTGCAAAGAAAGAGAAACACACACAAAAAAAGCTTGGCTTTTGTATGTAATATTTACTTGCTTATTATGACTTGGCACCTGCAAGTCACTTATATTGACAATTTTTTGGTCATACACTGTAGCACATGAAGGTAATAAGAAAGAATTAATCTTATTTGTTTCCTCAGTAAGTTAGTGATTCTCTTCTTTTTATGCTCTAATTAAGCTTGCATTGCCCCACTTGGGATGGAAAACAATGCCATTTCAGACGGCCAGATAAGTGCCTCTTCACAAATAGATGATGATCATGGCGCAAACCGAGCCAGATTGCATTTTAAGATAACTAGCATCAACCATGCGGGCTGGACCGCTCTGAAAAATGATCTTAACCAATGGCTTCAGGTGGATCTTGGTGCCTACACCATAGTAACAAGAGTAGCAACTCAGGGAGGAAAATCCGTCAGCCAGTGGGTGACCAAGTACACGTTACAGTACAGTGATGATAGATTCATCTTCCAACCATACCAAGAAGCAACTGGCAACTCAGCAATGGTATGTTTTAACTTAATTGTAGAGTGAAAGGTGATGACATTAATTATTTTATTCAAAATAGATTTTTATTTTTATTATTTTACTTTTGCTAATTGGCTTTAATCTCCTGGCTTATTGGTCATGAACCAGCTGGTGCTGACCATTAATTTGGAAGAATGTGGCAATATACATTTGATACAATGTAGAATCAATACAATGGTATATATTGCCGCCAACATACAATCCAAAACTTTTTTTCCAGGCAATGGCATCCCTAACTGTTTTGGCATGAGAGCAGAACTCAAGAAAATGGTGAAAGAGTTCATTGTTCATCCAGAGACAAAAAATAGGCAAATAACTGACTTTAAACTGAATGAATCAAAATGCAAGAATAGGTAGAAAAATTATTGCAGAATAGATATCATCTGCTTTTGAAGAGCTTCTCCAAGGAAATAATAATAAATTATGCTTAAACCTACCAAACATGACCAGTGGTATTGAACATGAAATGTGTAGTTCCAGAAAATATCCATACTCCCCCCACAGAAGGGATTGGAAATTCCTGGGGGGTGGGGGGTTCTCAAAGGCCCAAAAATTTAAGTGAATGTATGAAGCTTTCAAGACTGGAATTTCCAGAGAGGTGGGGGAGTCTAAGGAAAAATCCCTTCCGTGGGGAAGGTATGGATAATTTTTGGAACCACACAATGTTATTAGAATGAGATGTAAATGTAATACAGTAAAGGTCTCCATTTGGCAGTTTAGTAGAATTCGTCATACATGAAGCTGTTTATATTATTTTGAATCCACTTATATATAATGAATATTAGTAAAAATAAGCATTATTCTTATTTTTGCTTTCTAATTTCTTAGATTTTTTATGGAAACAGAGACAGTGACACTGTTGTGTACAACACTTTGAAACCACCAATAACAGCGCACTTTATTCGAATCTTACCATTGGAGTGGCACAATCGTATATCATTGAGGATTGAAATTCATGGCTGTCCAGGTATTCCAAAATATTTTCAAACAGTCATAACAGTCATTAGGAATTTACATATAAAGTCTCTTGTAAATCTGCCTGGCCTGCATCAACATTCAGCTGCTGCATTTTTCTCTTTTTAACACTAGTCTTTATTGGGGCAAAAGTTTAAGCTTTGTATGGTTAAAATCATGAGACATTTTTGGACAAACAGACAAGTCATTAAAAGAAACAATGTCGCAGCTCCTTTAGCTATGCTTTAAATTAACTAGTAAAAACATGACAACCAGACAAATGGTGTAAAGGGGGGAACATTGCTCGACAATCGCTGTTTCCCCAGGACTATTTTACCTATCCACACCATATCACCGTGGACAAATTCAGGGAGGTCCAAAAGACACAAACTTAAATATGGCCACTTATTAACACTCCACAGCACTTTGAGTTGAAACCTCCAGCCAGCATTGTGCAATTCTAAAAACATGTCATGGTTGGTATGATGTTGCCTAACAAATATATTGTTGCTCATTTAGGAGGTCATGGTCCATCAACTCTAATTGATATGTGAAACTTTCAAAAATGATGATGATGATGATGATGATGATGATGATGGATGATAATGAAAGAAAAAATTACCAATAATGGCATGCAAAGTTCCAAACAGGATCCTAGAACCATGCAAGGAACTGCCCTGAAATGAAATAGCTGATGATTGCCACTATTATTAGACATGTTGGCATTTTGTATTCAGGTTGTGTAAAATCACTTGGAATGGAAAATCAAGCGATCTCTAATGCCCAAGTAACAGCCTCATCACAAATGGACAACACCCATTCTGCAAGAGAGGCCCGCTTGCATTCCAAGGCGGATGGATACCAAAGAGGTGGCTGGGTAGCTCTCAAGAATGATCTCAACCAATGGCTTCAGGTGGATCTTGGTACTTTCACTAGAGTAACACGTGTGGCAACTCAAGGAAGAGATGGGTATGATCAGTGGGTGACCAAGTACAGGTTACAGTACAGTGATAATGAAGACACCTTTCACTCTTTCAAAGAGATCGGCAGTAACTTTGCGAAGGTATGGCTGTTAAAATTTGGCAAGAACTACACAATACAGTACATATATTCCAGTCACTAACACAAATTTCTCAAACTGATTGAAGCGTCAACAGCTTGCAAAGCCTATGGTCTTATACACTTAATGTCAGATCCCGAGGGAAACAGTCACGCAATGATTTATGTTAGTTTGCCAAGGAGGGCACTGTGAGCAGGGTCCAATTTGACACAAAATAGTCAAGTATTGATCACAATACTTGGTAAATTACTTGCCGGAATATTACTTGCTGTAAAACTACTAGTCATGAGCTTATTCGGAAAAGTACTTAGCCTCAACGTCATTTAAGGTTAGGGTATAAGACAAGCTGTGTTCCCTGAAGTCTTCCTCTTGGTCTCCAGACGTAATAAGCTTTGCGAATTTGACCCTCCTCCTCCCTTTCTCAGCCGCTTTCTTAATAGTAGTTTATTTACTCTGGGTGCCTTTTTTCTACACCTTCACCTTTGCCGGAGCGTAAAAAATCAAATATTCATAGCTAATTAAAATTGTTTGAAGATGTTATATCTAATCAATAAATCGGCCATCTTGCATGGCCAAAATTATACCCAAACAAATCGTTGTCCCTTATTTCTTTAAGCGCTCTTGCAAACATAGCTCGACTGATGACCCTAGAATTTAGCCAAAGGTTCTCTTTATAATAAGGGTACAAAAGACAATTGGGCAAGGAGGCATAAACAAAAAAGAAAGAGGACAGCATCCATCTGTCCTAACCAAACAAGAACGGTCAATAATTTAACCCTTTAAGTCCCAATAGTGACCAACATCAATTATCTCCTAACAATATCCATACATAGTCAAGAGATGAGTTATGAGAATTGATAAAATGATCACCCAGGTAAAAATGCCTTGATCTATTATCAAATTCTCTCAACAAATTCTTTAAGGAAATGTATCAAGATCAGTCAGGAGAATTTGTATGTGGATACTGGGGCTTAAAGGGTTAAAGGATTTATTATATGGCCAAAAAGATAACCTGGTGTTGCAGTACCAACACCAGAAATGCCAAGCAATGAGATGGGCCTTGCTTGCCACTCACGGATTCAGCCATATAATTAGTAGAACTTGATGTGCTGAATTATAGCTTTTTGAAATTTTCTTACATTTAGGTTTTCACAGGAAATCGGGATCATGAGACAGTTGTGTACAATCAGTTAAGTCCACCAGTCACAACTCGCTTCATTCGACTGATTCCAGTAATGTGGCATAGTTACATATCAATGAGAATAGAGATCTACGGCTGCCAAGGTAATGAGGAACAATTATATATTCATAGTTACATTTAGAGTACAGCTAGCTGAATAACTTGTGTTATTTTATTGTACATGTATGATGCAATTTTATGATGTGCAATGGTCAAAGGTTAATGGCACTACAGTGGAACCTCTCATGAGCAGACACACGAGATGCAAAAAAGGCATCTGTTCCTGGAGCTGGCCACTTAGAGGAATATAAAAATGCAGAGTTTATGTTAGTCTCCTTCGCAGCCATTATTAGGGTCGTCACACAATGCTCCTCCCCACTAAAGCGTCACGTGACGACCCTAATAATGGCTGCAAAGGAGACTAAGTTTATGTGGGAGTTGACGAAAACAAGGTTTTGTGAAGGAGGCCTTAAATAGAGCTGTCTGCTGTACTTTGAAAATGTGATTAGGCTTATGCTTTTTCTCTGCTTTTAACAATTCAGGTTGTATAGAGGCACTGGGTATGATGCGCGGAACAATCACTGATACCCAGATAACTGCATCATCAGAACTGGATAACACCCATTCTGCTGCACAGGCCAGGCTGAATTCCAAAGCAAATGGAAGCAAATATCAAGCCTGGTCGGCACATGAAAATGATCATCATCAGTGGCTTCAAATTGATTTTGGAAGCTCCACCAAAATAACACGCCTGGCCACTCAGGGACGAAATGGCTTTAATGAGTGGGTGACCAAGTACAATTTAAGTTACAGCGACGATGGTGTACATTTTCATTCCTACAAGATGATGGGAGAATCAAGGGCAAAGGTATATCAACAAACTGAGTTACAATTTGGCATAGTCTTAGATGCTGCTGTCGTCAGAAGACAATTATCTTATTATGCATTTCAACAATCTTAATCGTTTATCAATCAAATGCAGAGAAGATCATCAGAGTTAAGTATACAACTTATGTAGTTGCGAAAAGAAAGCCTGAAAAATTCCTCCTTACCGAGATTCAAACCCTGAACTCTGCAATACCTGTGTAGTGCTCTAACCAATTAAGCTAACAAGCCAGCTGGGAGCTGGTCAATAAATTCACTGTAGGCCACTTTCGAGTTCCAAAAACCCTCACTTTCAAAATGAGGCCAAGTGCACAACGTTTCTTGTAAAAATGAGTTTTTATTTGTATGAGAATGAAAAATCATTTCCTAATCAAAGGCTGAGCACTTAACCTTGTTTTGATACAGAGGCCCGGGGTAACTCAGAAATGGCCTATTGGTAACATACCCAAGAAGGATGAAGGTGAAATGAGGAATATTCATGTATGAATCTCGGCTTCTTTTCGCGACTGCACAAGCTGTGTATTTAAGTGTAATGATCTTGTCTTCATTTATTTCATAGTGGGTCATATTCATCATGTTTAGCGCGTTTGTCAGAAAGCATCCTAATCTTGGTGGTCCTGTGATACAAAGTCACAAATTTTCGAGGTATCGGGGACGACTGCCGATCAACCGTCCCCACTGATTTTATCAGGGTCATCTCGGCCGGGAAACTGGACTCCTTCCAACTCGATTTCATTTCCGCAAGTGACAAACGTGGATCTGTAATTAATGATTATCTCTAGTCAGTAGTTGTAAAATTCAAAACCCCAGCAGATTATCTTTGCATAATTGTTTATAGGTGTTTGAAGGAAACCAAGACAGTGACACTGCTGTATACCACGCTCTGACTCCACCAATCACAGCTCGGTTAGTTCGGTTGTTGCCTGTCGAGTGGCATAATCACATATCTTTGAGAACAGAGTTCTACGGTTGTCCAGGTAAGTGGTTCAGACCTCCCGGGGGAAGGTACTCGTGGGAATTCTTGAAGGCGGTGTCCCGTCCGGTTCTCCAAATCCTAACCCTCTTTCAGACCAGAAGCCCATAACTTGGAGCAAGCAACTGCCATACTCGGCCTATGTCACGGCAATTTTACGGAACAGTTTATTTTTGGATACATTTAAGGGCACTTTTTCCCGCGAAAATAGAATCTCTATCATGTCTATGTGCGCAATCGAAGTACAAGATATCAAAAAGGAAAACTAAATGTTATTAAAAGGAACAAAAATATCATTTTTAGGTCTGTAGGTTTTGCTGACTGGTTTGTGGAATTCAAAAGATATTCAAAATTCGCGCCAAAACCGTTCTAAAAATAAACTGTTTCGTGAAAACGAGTGCATGGAAGTTGCTCGCTCCGAGCTATGGGCTCCTGTTCAGAGCAAAAACTATCATTCTCCACAGCCGATTTTAGACCTGGCCCCAGTTGTTCAAAAGGTGGATAACGCTATCCAGTGGATAAATCTCTATCCAGTGGATAGTGCAATTGGTCTCCCTAATACTTATCTGCTGGATAGTGATATATCCGGTGGATAGGGCTATCCAACTTTTGAACAACTGGGGCCAGGCCTCTAATCTCCATACCTATTTTCAGACCTGGAAGAGGTCCCAAAAAGCAACATACACGCCTACATAGGCAGAAATTATGTCATCATTATCTACGTAGAATAAAACGCCTACAGAAAGACCCCATCTTTCGTAATCATTCGGAGTTAAAACGAGAAATACGTTCCTACACTCTTGTAGTTCCCCCGAAAACCATACCCACCCCCAGAACTCATACACTTAGAATCTACCTCTCGGTGTTACAAAAACCATTTTGGTAACAAAATTTTGACTAAAAATCTTGTATCTAGAAAGTCCGTTTCATTATTTTGTTGAACTATTTGACTGTTGAACTGTTTATTAATTATTACAAATTCCAGTTTACAAGCACGCAATATGATGATGATGATGACGATATTGATGATGATGGCAAGAATGCAAGTTATTTAGTTGGCATAAAAACAGATTGCGTGGTAGTTACACCATTGTTCAACAGACTGCCAGTACTTACTGCATATTCTGTTTAGTCTGAGTTTCTCTCACAGCTGTTGAAGCATTGCCTGTTGATCCTACTATTTAGTAACTTTTGATGTGTTTTTAAATACAGGTTGCATTGCTCCCCTCGGCATGGACAGTGGAGCAATAACTGATGCCCAAATAAGTGCCTCCTCACAGTGGAGTAACAATTATGCTGCATCACGGGCCAGGTTGCACACGCGAAGAATTGGTTACCAAGGAGGATCCTGGATAGCTCGTAAAAAGGATCTCAACCAATGGCTTCAAATAGATCTTGGTGGCTACACTACATTAACTCGTGTTGCGACACAAGGTAGAAGTGACGCCGATCAGTGGGTAACTAAATACAAATTGCAGTACAGTGATGATGGGGTGATATTCCAGTTCTACAAAGAGCCACAGAAGACCGCAGCAAAGGTATACAGAATGTCAGAGATGTCGGCGTTATAGTTGTTTCCTTTCATGAAAGAAGATTGAAGTACATGTACTGGTTTGACCCTTTAATCCCTAAGAGTGATCAGCATCAAATTTCTCCTTGTAATGTCAATGCTTTGTAAAACAGAGTGGTCATGAGAATTAAGAACATGATCACACAAGATGAATTTGCTTGATATTTTATCAATTTCTCCCCACTACTTCAGTAGGAAATGAATAGAGGAAACAAAGGAGAACTCAAACTTTTATCTGAGGGTTAATAATCCCGGAGGGCAAGTCCCATTTCGGTTCTTTTTAAGTGGAGGTATCCTCTGGAAAATCTGGGCCATTTACAGAGATAATGAAATGTCCATACATGTAGATCGTGAATTTACAGACTTTTTATACGACTGCGAATCTTCCCTCCTTTAACATAATTTGTCTACTACAAAATGTTTGAAGAATCGGTTTTCCAGACATTTTATACAGTTTTAACGTGAGTTTTTTATAACAGCTAAAATTTCCGAAAGTTTGGGGATAGAAAAATTCGCTTCGAGTTTTACGCTTTGTAACTTTTCCCCACCATTTCCTTCCAAACAACCGTGTCTTGTGCGATTGAAGTACAGTGGGCAGCCAGTTTGGTTAAAACCAATGCCGCGAAACATCCTTTTAAAACTGATATCCTATAACTATGCTACATTGTATCAGATGGTATCCCTTCTCTAAAATGAGCAAAGAAAGCTTCTTATTACGGTTTGCCTTATTCACAGCTAGTTTACAGCCCTTTAACCCTTTAAGTCCCGATAGTGACCAACAGCAATTTTCTCCTAACAATATCCATACATTGTCAAGAGATTAGGTTATGAGAATTAATAAAATGATTACCTAGGAGAAAATGCTTTGATCTTTTATCAAATTCTCTCCACTCATTCTTCAAGGAATTATATCGAGATCAGTTTGGAGAATTTGTATGTGGATATTGGAACTTAAAGGGTTAAGCCCCAATATCCACATACAAATTCTCCAGACTGATTTCCGTACATTTTCTTCTATAATAGTGACTTTTAGATTCAAGGACGAGAACGACTACGAGTACGAGATTTTATTTAAAGTTTTTTCGCGTATTATCAAAAAATAGACTCCCCAGAATTCTTCATTGTACTTTTTTTCACCAGAAAAGTTTACACTGTTATCGTTATTGAAGGAGGTTGAGCCTTCTCCAGATTGCAAAATACTAAAACTTCTAACATTTGATAACTTGTTCCCGCCACTACGACACTCTCGCTAAAACTCGTAGTAGAATAATGACGGCTACCACTTTTTCCCGCCAAAATGACGCTGGTTCACGCGCGAGCACTACTTAGTATTGAGAAAATCTCGTAATCGTAGTCGTTCTCGTCTTAGAATCTAAAGGTCTCTAATTAGCTGGGAGAATTTGATCAAAGATCAAAGCATTTTCCCTTTAGTGATCAGTTTATTAGTTCTTGTTACCTTTTCTCTTGATTTTTTTTCTTACGATATTGTTGGGAGAAAATTGATGTTGGGCACTCTTGGATGTAAAGAGTTAAATTTGAACTCTTTCTTTCCTTGGATCATAACTCAGGTATTTCGAGGAAACCAAGACCGTAACACCATTGTTTACAACATTTTGAACCCACCAATCACAACGCGCTTCATTCGAATCAAACCGGTGGAGTGGAAAAGTTACATATCCATGAGGATGGAGATCTACGGGTGTCCAGGTATTTAAACTTAAAGAGATCATTGTTTAGATCATTAAGCCCCGTGCAAACGGACGCAACATTGTTGGCCAACAACTCCCAACATTGCTGGATGTTACATGTTGCGTCGACAGAGCGCAAAAACCGCCAGACATGCGCACTAGAGCTCTCGCCACTGTTTCTTGTATTCCCGCCTTTCGATTTTCAAAATGGCGGAGGACTAATCAGAATCTAACACGTCACTGCGGACGCTGCCAAGCCGCTGTCCTCACTCTGAGAATTTTTCAACATGGTCAAACGGAATCTGTCAGCATTCAGCCATGTTTTGGCGACGCTAGCGAAAAGATCGGACTTAAACAAATTCTCTAAAGCAGCGATGTTTGTGACCAGCTTCGGAGCCTATTTTGATGCTTGTTGTTTCGAAGAAGGGCAGGTTTTTTACGTTTCTTAAGGTAGTCGCTCACTCTTTAAGGTCAGGAAAGAGAAATGTTGGAGGTAAATAGTTAAAGCGAAACATATCAAATATGACTTTTTTTTCGTTTCTATGAAAATTTTTTAGAGCTCTTTAAAAGTGAACTATTGTTTCATGTCTTGAATGTCAAGGAAGGCTCGTTCAAGGCGAAGTTGGAAGAACTACAAGTATATTTACGTCATTTACCGCGTTGCTTCGCAATTTTTGTTTCTACTGACTGTGAAAGGAATTTGATTTGCAACTGGTTTTCACGAAAATGGAAATCTAGAACTTTGTAATCTCACATATATACATGCTGTAAAAGTGGTTATCTGCAGAATTTTTTTTAAGTAGTAAAGTTCGGGTGATGTACATTGTGTTTTTTGAGGCGCTAAATATAAATACACCTTGGTGACACTGAGTCGTTGTGATTGCTCACGTTGTTTTCTCAGCGAAATCACGGCTACAGTGCAGCTGGAAAAGTCATTCTTCTTCTAGTTTCAAACAGCAGCAAAGGCATTTTCTTATGGCATGTTTTATGTTTAAAAGGGGCCACGAGAACTAAGGAGCCGGTCAAGAATTTAGGGAGTATGGGGGGTGGGGGCTAGGGAAAATTTTTCAAGGTTCTACAAAATGCCATGTAAATCTGTATTTCTGTTACAAATAAAGTACATCGAAAAATTTAAATTATTATGACAACTTAAAATTGAGGGGCGGGGGGGGGGGGGGGGGGGAAGGTAAAATTATATTACTATGCAATGAAAGGAAGCAGAGCGGGGGGAGGGAATACTCCAAAAACAATTTTTAAAAAAAGTTGAAAGAAATCAAAGACGAAAATAAAAAAGTCCACAAGAAACTTGAAGGTGGGTGCTTGTGGTTGAACATTTATTATTATGATCCAGACTATCTTTTAAAACACATTTCATCATCCACCCTCCCCCCTTCCTCCAAATAAAAGTTCACTTTCTTAACCTAAGTTTCATGGAACACTAAGCCACTGAGGGACTTGTCAGAAATTAGCAGGGGGGGAGGGGGTGGGAATTTTAAATTTGGGTTCGGAAATGAGATGACCCATCCCTGGAATGGGAGTGAAATTGGCTAACCCTCCCATTGACCTTGGCCTAAAATATCATGACCCCCCCCCACCCTCTTGTATAAATGATAAAATCTACTAGGGTGAGTCAGTATTATGAAAGCTCAAAATATATTTCTAATCTGTTTTTGTAATGCCATATACATACATTTTAGATGACAGCATTAAGCTGAGTCCGAATCTGATTCTGACAGCTGATCACTCGACTCCTATTTCTCCCATTTTTTTTTACAAAATAAAGAACTTCTTTTTTCTTCTGTGGGTGAACCTCTACATGATCACGGACACATTTGCATGACCCTCCCCCTTTTAACGGCCCATTTTTCATGATCCCTCCCTCTTCTGCAGTCTCAAAAAGTTGTGACCCTCCCTCTGTTTCCAACCCCCCTCCCCCCTTCTAATTTCTGACAAGTCCCTGAGGTGGAACAGGAAGTTATTAATCCATATAGTAACCTTTTCCATTTCACTGGCCACAATAACGATCTGCTGTTTCTCAAACAATGGAATGGTGCAGTGATCAGCCCTCTCATAATATGTTGCATGCTCAGTCATTATTTTTAACCCATTTACTCCTTAGAATTTTGCAGAAAATTGTTTTTTGAAGCTAATCAAGCTGTTTTCTGGCGACTGCCTGGCTACAATAAGCCAAAATGCTGTTTGTGAGTTGAGCACTTCACAGAGCCTTCTGTTCCAGATGCAAAGTATCAGCTTCCAACATTTGATCATGCTCAGATAGAAAAATTTCAAGCTAGTTTTTAGGTTTAAGAGTGACACAGCAGTCTTGACGTTTCTTTTCCGCTTCTTCTCCTCCCATTGACAGGAAATGTTTTGGGAAAGCTTCTAGGATCATAGGATTAGATAGAAGGATGTGTAAGTGAGTAGTGGAACAAGATTTCAAGGGGAATGGGTTTATAGTTAAGCAGTAAATGTTGTGATGGGTTGGTTACAGTAAGTGACATCCCAAACTTGTTGTGTTCCTATTACTTGGGGAAAGCAACCAGTGATAAATTCATTAAAAACTTTTTAAAAAAATACACAAGTGTGGCTACTGATTTCAGAGCCCAAAATAATAACTTCACTGGTAGATATTTTCACTTGTCAAAGTTTTATTGTATTGACCCCATGACAAACAATAACTAAACCAATGAATTATTGCTCATGGAGTTGCACTGTTCACCATCTTTCAGAGTAGCGTACAAAATGACCTGCACCCGCCCATGGCCATTAGTTGACAGTAAAATTATAACTTCAGAGAGATTATGTTCCATGTGGTTACCTGCCTGAGGTTATCGCTATTATCCCAACAAAGTCATACAGCATAAGAAGCTTTTCGTGGAGAACTCAAGTCAGCAAACATGCTTTACAAGAAAGTGTAAATGTAAATCGTGTATAAAAGCAATGAGTTTGACTACCCTGTGTGCACTAGTGTAGGCATTTACTGCATGGTTGACCAAAATATTCTTGGACTGAAAGGACTGAAAGCCAATGTCATGTTAATAAACTTGAAGCTTGTATTTGTAACTCAGGTAATGTATGCTAATAAAGCTGAAACAAAAGAAAAAATAAAAATTATCTGAGATAAAAAATTAACTGCAATATATACCGTATTTATTCGATTAACCGCCCCAGGGGCTTACTAAATTTTTGGACATTGAGAGTGGGCGCTAATTTGAGGTGGGCGCTTATCCGAGGCTGGGCGCTTATTAAATTTTCAACATTTTCAGCAAGTGTAGTATGTTTATTTTGCAACAAAACAATAAATAGCAACCAAACACAAAGATGTAACAAAGCAAGGCTCCTGTAAAATACTTTGAAGAAAACTCCATCTTTGGGGAAGTCTCTTATTAGTACTCATTCAATTTTTTGGGGGTGGGTTGGGGGTAGCGCTTATTTGAGTTTGAGTGGGAGGGAGTTGGGGTGGGCGCTTATTCGAGGTGGGCGCTAATTCGAGATTGGGCGCTTATTTGAATAAATACGGTATGTCAAATATAGCTTCAGGCAGAAGGTATTGAAACTCTTTCCAGGAAAGAAATTTTTGTTCAAAATCTCAAATTTTTCTTTGTAACACCATTAATATTTAACTCATTGTCTGGCAAACAGTTTTGTTCATTGAAATCCTCTACTGAGCCCCAGGGGCTTATTCATTTCAAACACACAACAGGGAGGGGGCTTATTTGAGAGGAGGAGCTTATGTAATTTAGCAAAGACAATGGTATCAGTTCTCCATAAAGGACTAGAATACAAAGTGGAAAAGTGAGGATCATAAACAAATCTGAACTTTCAGTTGGTGAATGAACCATCCTGGATCGGTCCACACGAAGTCTTACAGTTGTGATTGACTAATACAGTCTACCATTTATTAATCAGTGAAGAATATAAAGGGGAAGGGGAACTTATTTGAGGGTGGGGGGGTTAAAAGAGGATTTACAGTATTTACATTTGATGTTCATTTCATGAATGTGTTTTCATTATGTTACATCTGTTTGACACAAAGGAGCACATTTAGTTACTGTACCATACTTTGAGAACCAAACTTAAATGCAGTGGTTATTATTATGTGGTAAGTAAGTAAGTATTATACACATTTCCGGGTGATGTTTGGTAGAAAGACTGTCCAGTGCAAAAACAAACACCTGATAGCAGGTTATCATCATGACAAGCAATTATCTCAGTGCAAAAGGAGACAATATTCAGCACTCTTGTACATCTCAATAATACAAGTCATTGGTCCATCATTACACAAAGGAAGAAAAGTATTAATTTTATCCTAATGAAATAGAACATTTCTGCAGTGAGCACGATCGTGGCGTGAATTAAGATATATTGTTTTATTCAATTTTACAACAGTGAAAAATAATTTTCATCAATCAAGAAATCTAATCTGAAGAGAATTAGGGTAGTTGCCCTTCTATACAACCTCAGCTCTTAGAAATCAGGTTAATGGTTTCTGTTTCCTACAACAAAAGAAGTAATAAAATGATTATGGTAGATGTACAGCTTGTTTTATAAGAAATATTATTTTTCAAAACACTTAGAAGAAAAAAATCTACAATGACAGAACAAATAAAAATTAGTTACTACAAATAACAAACAGCAAAAGAAACGAGCTTCATACATGTAAACAATCATCCACATGCTAAAACATTATTTGTAGCATGCTGTAAAATGTCTAACAAACACCTGATAGCAGGTTATCATCATGACAAACAAAATATAATAACCTCAAGAGTTTCGATTCTCACCTGTTTGCCTGTGTACGACGAGGACGATGATGATGACCCCGATATGAAACTTTTGTATCTCTACGACTCAAATGTGAATCAGAATTCAAAGGAGGCAAAGTAGGACGCTGTAATTTGAAATCAAAGCTATGACAGCTGTTCGACCACGCGAAGTTCATGAAACAAGACGATTCTGGCCAGCCAAACGCATTTTCAAAATATGGACAATCAAAGCTGAAAGCCTTTGGGTACAATCAATAGCAAGTTCCCTGTAGCTGTTCCTGTGGGCAAGGGTGTAATCCGATGTCAGTTTGCTGAAAGCTGAAATATGCTCGAAGGATTTGCAATATAAACACTCGATGTTTACATACGGTGGACATCCCAAACGGCGCTCTCAGTAACTTCACGCACAAAGTTTTGAAGGCAATTAAACAGTAGGTTTCATTTAACGTTTCTTGCTATATTTGATTATTTCTTTTTCTACGGACAGCAGTCTTGTAGGTCCTTGTAGTTTAGCATCGCTTTCTCACGCTCAGCCGCCATGCTCGATCTTTAATTTTCCCAGGTTTGCGCAGGCGCAGTTACGCAAAACAGGCCAAATTACGTCATTATCCACTAGCCAATCAGCGGTTTTTGCGCTCTGTCTGTTGCGTCCGTTTGCACACCCTGTTGCATGTTGTTGGATGTTTTTGCGTGTTGTTGCGCAAAGTTTGAAACCAGTCAAACTTTTCAGCCAACAAATCCCAACATTTCTTTTGTTCCGTGATCGCTGAAGCGTAGCGCAACAATGTGGTATCCCTTTGCACAGCTCTTCCAACATTGTTGGGGCCGCGCACGCTCATTACACATGGTTTACAAAGACTTATGGGTTGTATCCTTCCCACGATGCACTGCAGGTTCCAACATTATTGGCGCAACAATGTTGGAAGTTGTTGCGTCCGTTTGCACGCAGCCTTACTTAGAACATTTGAATCCACTCGACGTAACGCGTTTCATTCTTCCTGTAGATTCCAAGACAGGGAGGAGTACGTGGCGCATATTTTCTCAATACTAAGTAGTGCGCGCGCGTTAATAAGCCTCATTTCGGCGAAATAGCCGTCGTTATTCAACTACGGATTTTAGTGTGAATATCGTAGTAGCGGAAGCAAGTAATCATTTGTTAGAAATTCTTATTAAGTAGGTGTATGTGAAAGAGGTACCGTATTTCAATGGAAGGTACCATAAAATTCCGAAAATAAGCCCTGGGGCTTATATTTTTCAAAGGTCCCTTTTGAGGGGCTTATTTTTGGAGGAGCTTATAATCGGAGGGGCTTATCTAAGGAGGGAAATTTGCGTTTCAAAATCGACTGGGCTAGCCTTATAGCTGGAAGGAAATTGACCGTTTTTCCTTTATTTTAGTTTGTGTTTGAGGGCAATTTCCAAGTACAAGCCCCCGGGGGGCTTATATTCGGAGGGGCGATTTAACGGAGCGTTTTTTTTGCTTCACGAGTATGGGGGGCTTATATTTGCATGGGCTTATACATGGAGCGGCTTATTTTCGGAATTTTACGGTATACGAAAGGCGTTGCTTTTCTGTCAAAAATGATATATGAAAGTGTAAGGGGCTGAATCTTGCGGGGAACTTCCCCGCATAAAAGTTTGTTGAGTACCCGCCCCCCTCCCCCCGGGAGTTTGAAAGAGCGGTAAGGTCTTTCTTACTTGGGTCTTGTACGGAAAGGGATTAAACTATGCCTAAGTAGCAAGGGTATTAAGCTATTTTGACGTTTCTGCCTGTAAAACAAATATAGGCTGTACGACACCGCTTGGTATGGAAAATAGGGCTATCCCTGATTCATGGATAACCGCCTCATCGTCACGTGACAACAAACACACCGCTTGGCAAGCAAGGCTACATCTACCAGCTGATGGCGGCACGGGGGGAGGTTGGTCGGCTCGTCACGATGATTTCCGTCAGTGGCTGAAGGTAGAACTTGGTGGTTACACAACTGTAACACGTGTAGCGACACAAGGAGGGAGTGGACGAAATGAATGGGTGACAAAGTACAGATTACAATATAGCAACGCTGGGAATATTTTCAAGTATTATAGGTTGAGTGACAACAGTTCAGCAATGGTAAGTACTCAAAGCTCAGTCGACGTATTTGGTAAGTCTCGCCGTTAGATAGAACCAGCCTCGTCTTAAGTCATCCTTGACGATTTAGGATGTGGCGTCACCTGTCAAGCTTGTGGGGGACGCCTCGCGCTATCGCACTTGGTTAAAGGCTTCCTCTACTCACTCGGATAGTGCGAATTGGCCTAGAAACGATGTCCAACCGTCCAACCGTTGGAATGGGACTCTAAGGTTATATTTTGTTGGAAGATTGATCGTTGCGCGTAAAATTGCTTGCAATTGCATGCCAATTTATGTGATAGTTTTGCACAGGGTTGTGTGTAATAGATCTCGAAATAAAAGCAAGAGGAAGAAGCAGTTAAGATAGCAACAACTTTTGCGATGCGGAGAACTAACTCGATTGAAGTTTACTACCAATGTTCGCTGAAAGAGTTGCAGATTCCTATCTTTGCAAAAATTAACACATCACCCAAACCGGTTTTAGCGAACACGGGTCTTTAAACTTCCAGTTTGCCATGATCAGCCATGCTTTTGTCTCTTCTGTTTCGAGAACGGGTGCCCGGTGAGTGGACATAATTATATTTCTTTTCTTCTCTTTCAGGTGTTTGAAGGTAACAAGGACAGTAACAGCGTTTTTACAAACAGATTAAGCCAGCCGATCAGAGCACGCTTCATTCGCTTTAGACCAATGGAGTGGCATAATCACATATCGATGAGAGTGGAGATCTACGGCTGCCCAGGTGTGCTTCACCTTCAAATAATTTTGTTAGAGTTATATATGGTGTGAGCTTGAATAGAGATGCTTATTCGTTTAAGGAAAAAAAAATCAGACCCGAAAGATGAATTGTCATTATGAATTGTACTGTACTTACAGTGTAACATGTTCCAATACAGGCTGCATGGCAGCGCTTGGCATGGAAAATAACCAAATATCAGACGCCCAGATCAGTGCATCTTCAGTGTCTGACGACCGAAGCTCTCCAGTACAGGCCAGGCTGCACCTACCGGGAGGGGGTGGGTGGAGTGCCCTTAAAAACGATCCCCACCAGTGGTTACAGGTGGACCTTAGAAGTTACACCACAGTAACACGTGTAGCGACTCAGGGGAGGACTAGGACCAAGGAGTGGGTGACCAAATACAAGTTACAGTACAGTGATGATGAAATGAACTTCCAGTTTTACAAAGAACATGGAGACAAGTCAGCTAAGGTATTTTATAGCAAATGTCAAATACCGTACTTTAATTTGAGCTTCAATTGAGCTTTCTCGCCAGAAAATTATGTTTAATTCTTTTACTTATGTAATTTACATCACCTTTAACCTTTCACCAAATGTTTTTTGTTCGTTTTTTGTTTTTTGTTTTTGTTTTTTTTTTTCATGTATACAGTGTATTGAATGACTATATTTTTCTGGAAAAAAAAGAAGAGAAACTCAACAGGACAGGATGTGGAAAGGCATTCTTGGGATCCGGGATTTGACCGAATTATAGTGTGGGATTCGGGAAAGTTTATCGGGATCCGGGATTGGACCGAATAATAGTGTGGGATTCGGGAAACTTAAACGGGATGCGGGAAAACGCAAAATTTCCTAACGGGACGGGATTTGACTGCTACTCGGTAAGCTGGATTCGCCATAATCTTGGCACGGGATGCGGTATTGGGGAAGTAAAAGGTCTTCGGGACAGAAATGACAGAACTTCGGGATGCGGGACTGTGGTGAAAATGGAGCGGCAATTCGGGATCAGGACCCCTGTTTAGAGATAAGAAGATATTTAATCACAGCATAATTTTTCAAGTCAAGCGTAAAACTTCGTCTTTTTTATTCAATATTAATTTGAAACAAGTGAAAAATGACGCGGATAAGAACGAACGACGTTTTGGTGTTATCTTGACGGAATTTTCAAGTTTAAAGTATAACTAAACCTTTGCTTGTTAACATTAATTTGATACAGATATTTTTTTTTCGACTACAGGCCAAAATCTTCGCCATCCTCCACAGAATCGGGACTTTTTATAAAGTTAATGCTAATTTCTGCGTTCGTTTTAATTGGCTCTTACCAATTACCTAAATTATCTATATGGCAACGCCGAGGTCATGGAGTGGGTTGTCTAGCATACCGAACAGTTTTCAAACTCGTTGACAACGTTAAGCCTTAGCTTCGGCGAAACAAACATTTTCGTCCAATATAATATTTGTCATGCACAACATAGGGTGTCTAAAGGACTAAACATCTGTTGGTGATGGATAATGTTGGATCAAACCTTGAAAGTTATTTAAATGCAATGTTAAGAGAGGCGGTTAAACGGTAAAACATTCTCCTGCAACACGATGTTACCGCAGACTACACGATGTGAGACGAAAATGTTTAATCGGCTTTAATATGATGATTTGCACTAAAGAGACTAAACCAAACAACTGCGTATGGAGCTCGCTTGCATTTTGTTCTCAGCACATTTCCACAATTTTGTGATCTAAAGCTAAACCAATCGCTGCGCAGCAAATGGAATGCAATTGCTATATTTACTTTTTTTTATTCTTTTAGGTTTGTCCTGGCAATCGTAACAGTGACAGTGTTGTGTCTAATACACTGAACCCAGCAGTCACAGCAGTGTTCATTCGTATATTGCCAGAGGAATGGAACGTTCGCATATCTATGAGGATAGAGCTGTACGGCTGTCCAGGTGATTTGGTTTTAATGGGACGCAAGTGTTGAGAACGTGTACTTGTTTTTAAGTTTATTTAAAGAGGAGAAAACACCAGACGTTACAGTCAAACTTTAATACGCGTAATACGGACACCTCGTTATTACGGACAGTTTGTTTTATCCCTGGGGAAAGAAAGCCCTTACATTTTCTCTAAATTCAACCCGCGTAATACGTACACCTCATTATTACGGACAGTTTGCTTTATCCCTGGGGAAAGAAAGCCCTTACATTTTCTCTAAATTCAACCCGCTTAATACGGACACCTCATTATTACGGACAGTTTGCTTTATCCCTGGGGAAAGAAAGCCCTTACATTTTCTCTAAATTCAACCCGCTTAATACGGACACCTCATTATTACGGACAGTTTGCTTTGTCCCTGGGGAAAGAAAGCCCTTACATTTTCTCTAAATTCAACCCGCTTAATACGGACACCTCATTATTACGGACAGTTTGCTTTATCCCTGGGGAAAGAAAGCCCTTACATTTTCTCTTAATTCAACCCGCTTAATACGGACACCTCATTATTACGGACAGTTTGCTTTATCCCTGGGGAAAGAAAGCCCTTACATTTTCTCTAAATTCAACCCGCTTAATACGGACACCTCATTATTACGGACAGTTTGCTTTATCCCTGGGGGAAAGAAAGCCCTTACAGTTTTCTCTTAATTCATCCCGCTTAAATTCCGACAACGTTCATTGAAGTAGCTGTCTTAAACAGGCTCGGCATTCAACTTAAAGCTTTTTAAGATTTCGTACTCAGTTCCTGGCACTAAAAATTCTAGGGTGCGCATTATCGTCGTCCTTGTAAGGGTAGTCGTGCATATGACAGCGACGGAAGTCAGTTCGACGACCTGTTTTTTTTTTATGACCTTAAAGATGACTAAGGGGCTGTTTGCATGGTCGAAAGAAGATCCTAGAAGGCGGATCATCCTATAGCCGTACCTTTTCTGTATCCAGTTTATATACAAAACGTTGTATTTGTCCATAGCGCTAGGATCTTCTTAGCTGAGGGGTAGGAAGATCCTAGCACATTGTAAACTGCTTTCGCTTGGAAGATCCTAGCTCTAGGGACAAACCACACAAACATAGCGTAGGGTCGTTCAGTGCACCAGACGTAGTTAATCGATAATAATTGATAGTAACCGATAATAACGATTTCCGATATCGATCAATAGAAATCGATAAAGAAAAAAGTTGTGACTTCGTTTAATATCCACGATTTTCCGATAGAAATCGATGATGGTTTTTTTATCAATTGTCATCGATTACTATCGATCCCTATCGATTGTTATCAATTTGTTATTCGGTAAACTATTTTTTCGGTGACTTCGATTTCTATCGATTTCCGATATCAATCTATATTAATTGGCGGATTAAATCGATTAATTCGATGATACCGATTGATTTCCGATATCGATATTTACTGATTAATTACGTCTGGAGTGGGTAATCTTTCATCTTTAGTTCCTTCTCTGTTGTTAACCACAAGGACCGAAATTTCTGAATGTAAACCAATGAAAAGTTGTTCCGCCTTCTAGGATCTTCCTCCCTCCATTTAAATTACAGACCCTTGCACACAGGTTATAGAAACGTCATTCACTGCTAACAACAGTCCTGTTCAGGTCTACACTCACCTGGATGATCATATTCTTCTTACTTATGAAATGACTCCTGGCTTCAAACCTTTCAACTTTCTAGGATGCGTCAGTGCCCTTGGCGTAGGAAATGGTGAAATCCCAGATGCTCATATTACCGCGTCTTCACAGCTGAATGACAACAATGGGGCAGCACTTGCCAGATTACGCTTAAAAAAAGCTGGTCCCAAGCAAGGAGGGTGGTCTGCTCTTTACAATGACTTTGACCAATGGATTCAGGTGGATCTTGGTGGTTCCACCAGAGTCACTAGGGTAGCGACGCAAGGAAAGAATGCAGGTGATGCGTGGGTGGTCAAGTACCGACTGCAGTACAGTGAAGACCTTGGAATGAACTTTTCTTTTCTCAAGAAGTCAGTCAACAGTTCAGCAAAAGTATGTTTTTTTTTTGGTTCGTTTTTTGCCACTGCTATTTTCCTGCTACTAGCAGCGATATCGTGAGGAAAACGCTCTAAGCGTGGGGCGTACCCCGTGAATATTTGTTTCCGGCTTGCGCTCTGACACTGGATCCCCATCCTATGCAATCTCGTGCCAGATTATGGGCAAAAAGCCCTGTCCTTTCTAATCAAGAACCTCTAATTCTCCATAACACTGGCCATTCACCCATGAATCATATCCAGCTCAGAGCGGAGCATTTCCGTACAGCGTACATGACGGTTAATCCCACCCGCAAAAGGTCTACGAGAAAGATTGGCGAGGGGAGCATGTTATGTTATAAAACTTTATCCGAATTTATTATGTGATTTATTTACGAATACGTCCAGCTACCAGTCCTTCCAGCAAATTGCCTTGAAGGCTCTTTTTGGAGTTACTCTAATTACCTTTGTAATCTTTGTTAAAAGTAACTGTTTTGTTAAATTTAAATTTTTTTCTAAAGGTGCTTTACGGAAATCACGACAGTGAGACTGTGGTGTATAATGTCTTGGTCCCACCAATCACAGCACGCCTAATTCGTGTCTTACCAGTAGAGTGGCACAGTCAGATATCAATGAGACTGGAAATATACGGATGTCCAGGTATTAACTACAAAATATATATACAAAATATTTTCGGATTTTTTAGGTCCCACGAAAACAGCAAAAACTTGGAAGTCCTCTAAATTTTTTCAAAGGATGACATCGTGCGTACTGCGCAAGATCGAGCCAGATGGAGACGACTTATAGTCCACTGCTCCTCTGTCGACCGATGATGATGAGCCAATGATTAAAGGAGCTGTCTAGTTCATTGGGTGAATATTGCTAATGACGCGTCTTTATTCGTTGAGGAACTTAACGTTAACGAGGAAAATACTCAATAGATGACAAAATCACAGCCTCTTATCCACCCAAAAATTAAGCAAATTCACAAAAAAAACCGGATGATTCGGTTTCTACTATACTACTGATATCTCTCCCTTAGCATTACATCAAATGTTACAAACATCAAAAACTCTGAAAAACTGTTAGGCTAACAAGTTTTCGAAAACCTGAAATGTAATCCGTTTTAATCTTTTTTTAAGTTTGTCCATCCATGCCTTTTTTTGTATTTGCTGTGTTATTTATACCTTATTTTACTGTTTTGATCAGTTATTTTTATGATTTACACAATTTGGTGGCAGCTCTCACCGTTGAAAAGGAGCTGTGTTACGAAATTTATCAAAATTGAAACATTTGAAACGGCCACCAAAACTGAGTGAAACATAAGGAGAAGGAATAAATAACACTGCAAATACAAAAAGGAGGAACTAATGGACTAAACTGAAGAAGATTGAAACGGACTGCATTTGAGTTTTTTAAAACTTGTGAGCAGGGTAGCCCTTAGCCTGTGTCACAGATGGAAATTAACCTCTGGTTAAGCCCGTATACGAACCAGCCCCGAAATGCTTGTTCTGGGTCCCCACCTGTGTAACCGGATTTGAGTACGCGCCATGATTGACCTGTTAAAAGAGCCATTGTCAATTTTTACCAATCAGGTTGAAGGGAAATACGAAACGCATTTCCGGTGATTCGTTGAGTCCGTTGGGGGCCCAGAACAATGATATCGGCTCTGCTTTGCAGACGTTACTAACCGGAGTTAGATTACTTCTGTGACGTAGGCTAGGTAGCCCATTTACAAGTAATTTCTCAAGTTCCATAACAAATAAGGACGCGTTAATGGCGTTAATAGTGGACTTACGCAACAGGACGGGAGAGGAGAGAAGACGGCAAACCTTGAGTGACAAGCGTGTCAATAATTTTGTTTGAAAAAACCCTCTACCAAACTTCACCTTCCTTTAAACAGATCTTTTTGTGAAAGACCAGAACGCAGAAATGTTAAGTGAAGATCAGGTCAAAACTCGCAAGTAACACCCCCGTCACATTTATCGCACACATGCGTTTTGCTGTCCCTCCTTCCAGCGGTCCTGTTGCGTAAACTCACTATTAACAGGATGAATTAGACGGCCGTGTCACAGGCCCTTTCAGTGTCTTGTAGAGTCTTGGGTAATGCATCGTTTCGCTATGTTTTTTTTTTAGTTCCTTCTTCGACTCCAACTGTACAGCCAACGGAGCGAACTACAAAGACAATATCGACTGAAAAAGTTAGTTCTACTGGGGTCATAACGCCAGTAGGGACGCCTAGAAAATATGTGGCGCGTCCAAGAAAAGGTAACATTAATGTATGTGTTGCAATTAATTTTTTTATTCAGTTGAATTTTGTTTTTCCTTTGTTTTTTGTTATGGTAATGAGTTTGAAACAAAGAAAAAGCAAAACTTAACTGAAATAAAAAATTACCTGCGACATATGTGATAATGAACAATTATTCAATGAGGCTGAGCAGGATGTTATTTTTCTTGCAGATACTCTTCAAAAAGTAGACACTAAAGATAAAAAGCATGGGAATGAAATCTAGAATCAACAATGAAAACATGTTTTAACTTAAAAACAAATTTACGTTATTAGTGTCGCAGGAAGAGGATACGTGCAGGGTATTCGTGCTGGGTTTTACAGAGGATTGTACCACACCACCGCAGTCTACGCCCCCTACTCTTTACGAACAGCATCGTAGGTTTCTTTTACGTCCCACAAGGAATTAGAACGATGGAAGAGCTGTGAGACGGGACCTACGGTTTTTCGTTCTTATCCGAGAAGACTAGAGTGTCTAACCTTTTGTAGATTTCACAACAAAGGCAGTACATTCTCCTCATTTATTTTAAGACCCTGAGTGTTGGTCCGGCCGGGGTTTGAACCTGCGACATACCGCTCGGCAGACCGGCGCCCATCTAATTAAGCTAACAGGGAACGGTCTTAAGGACTAAACACTTCAGCTCTCAGCGTAACAACGGACCTCCGGGGCGGACCCAAAACTTGGCTTTTATCATTTACGTTATCATCATTAATATCATTATCTTTATCCGATTATTGACAATTCATTGAACGAAGTTCAGCAAAATATTGTGATTTGTCAGTGGAGGCAAATAATTGATCTGCGAGACACAAATCGAGATATTTTGCGATAACCGAGTTCGGTAATTGTTTTATCATTCGGTCACCCAGTTTGTTTTTAAAATAATGAATATCTGTCATCTTGCTTTGTGCACTGGCTGATCTCATACCGATTTACTTGCTAAGAGGGCGAGTCATAACCCACGACCAAAGGCCCCTAAGACTTCACCTTCTTACTCTATAACTCTAATCCTTCCTGTTCCTAGTAGCGTGTTTTTTTGGAGTAATGAAATACTAATTCTTATGTCCAACTTTTCCAGCCACTTATCCAAGTTCTTTGTCACACTTCCCAATGATCCTACAACAATGGGTATCACCTGCACAGTTATTATTATTATTATTATTATTATTATTATTATTATTATTATTATGATCATCATCATTGTTATTAAACTTCAGTGGCTATTTAGTTTTTTTGCTGACGAATGTTTTGCAAACACTTTGCAGGTTCCAAGGTTTCTGCTATCGTCGCGCCAGTGGTAGTGTTCGTTTTGCTCGCCGTTTTGCTGTTGGTTGGATTCTTCTTCTGGAGAAGGTGGGATCCGCACGCCATAGTAGAAACGCCATAAAACACTTTAAAGGGAACCTGAAATAAATTGAAGTTATCTCCTTTTCTTATAAGTGGAAAGAAAATTTTAGAAGAATTGGCGTTCTTTTATGAAGCAACGTTAACGTCAAAAGCGAAAACAGGCGATTTTTGTATTAGTTTCCCTTTTCGCTTTAGTAAATGGTAAGAAATGGTGCCTGGTTTTTCTTCCTCGTAGCCAGTGGCTGGACTGCGAAGAACCAGAGAGGTGAGATCGGCACGTAAAGGTACACTTCGCAGCCGCCTTTATTTATGCTTGATCTTACTTCGTCCACCCCTGACCTCCAGACTAATGACGGCACAAATTAGATAGACCATGAAACCGGGAGCTATACCCCCCTTAACTTGGATTATCCCTCTTCCCTTAGATTAACATCTCCTACTCTTTTCGAACAATTTCACGGGTTCGTTTTATTAATAAACCTGGCAATTTTATGAAATTTAAAAATAATCATATATGTGCATTCACGGTGAGGCTATCTACAATGGATTTTATGTTTATTCCATGACAGAAGGAGCTCCATTAAAAAGGCCGTGCTGAACATTCCTCTCCCACCAGTGAGATATCCGAAGTAAGTTACCGTAAAATAAAAATTGGTCCGCTATGGGAACTTGTGTTTTTACGGGGGGGAGGGGGGAGGGCACTCAACAATGTTTTGTACGGGGAGGCTTCGCCCCTCAGTTTAACCCCTTATCCTTTAATACACATTTTTTTACAGAAAAGTTATACCTTTCGTAATCCTGACATTAAAAATGGTACTGTTATCACATGCTTTCATAAGAACACTGCATCCCTTTTCTATTCACTTGTAATGAAGTTAAAAATGATAATGAGTCCCTTCCCACTTTAATCAACCTGGCCACTCGATCGCAGACATGGAACTGCTTGTTCCGCTCGAATTACAACCCACCCTCAGCATGTCACACCGTAAGGCAAGAGAAGCGTACCTCATAGAGAGAGGCAAAACCCTGTCACCAGACGGTCTGAACCGATGGAATGAACATTGAACTGTTTATATTTCTATTTTTATTGTATAATCATTTATCTGTATATTATTCTATCTAATATTAATAATTGTAGTCAATTATTAACCACTGATCTAAATTTTAGGAGCCGTTAAAAGCCATTTTCTGTCGGTATAGTTCTGGCCCTGAGGAAGGCTAATTTTGTCAGCCGAGATATTAGCCTATAATAAATAAGCCCTTTGCCGTAGTGCCAGCCCTGCATTCAGTTTGTTTTAAAAATGATATTACCGAAGAACTTCGGGCATTACTGAAAGAGATGTTAAACATGGAATAATTAACCAAAATCCCTTTTATGATACCTAGGTGACAGATTTTCCCTAAGTACCCGTCATTAACTTCAACCCTTGAAATTCCTTCTCTTTTATTTACTTAAGGGTACCCCTTTCGGGCGGAGCCTCTTCGTGTAGGCCATTGTAGATCCTTCCCCTCCCCCCACAATGGTTTATAGAGTAGGTGAAGTCGTCCCCTCTAGTTGATGGACTTCATTGCTGCAATTTTGTTAGAAACTTTGAATTTTTGTCGAGCAAGTGTTTGGAAAAAGAATGATCTCACACGTTTAACAAGAGTAAATGATCTGAGGATCATCATGATTTTATGACCCAGGTAGCCAACAGACTCCGCTAAAATTTTAATATTTTAAGGACCAGTAGTTATTGAAAATTAAGGGAGTGCGTCCGACGGTGATTTCACTAGACCAATCACGTGATTTTGGTGCAAACGAGGCTAAACCTTGAAACCGAAGCAGGACATAGATACCAGTTCCTGGCGTAGAAAAAGCCCCTGAAAAATCTGCGGAACGGCTTAAAATGCGTCCGTTATACAAGTAACAAAAAAAAAATTAACTAAACATGGCACCGGAGTTTTACGAGGAATAAAACTGATATCACAATTTTAACACTTTCTTCAATTCTTCTTTTTAATTTCGGACAAGACCCTTGGACATTCCAATTTACAATAATAGGACTTCTTCTGGTCGTTGTCGAATTAAACATCTTCCTTCGCTCAGTTCAAAATCACGCCGCCATAAAAACCTCGAAAATTTGAAAACAAACATTATTTTAACTTCCATTTATATATTTGGTTTGCTTTCTCATTTATTTTACTTTTCAGAGATGAAGAATTATGCCCAGACACCAAAGATGCTTAGCCATTAAGACAATAGACAAAAACGCCATTCAACTCATTTTTTGTTTGTTTTTTTTTTTGTGTGAGTCGTGAATCATGTCCACGGCATTTTTAGCTCAGTCTGCAGGACGGTTTCACTTAGCTGATCCAAGTCCTGCATTTGTGATCTTCTGATTATCTCCTTTCCAATTATAAGTAAATCAGTGTGTTATTAAAGCTCTCAAGGCTCTAATCAGTGTGTTACTAGAGCTCAGTCTGCAGGACGTTTTCATTTAGCTGATCCAAATCCTGCATTTGTGATCTTCTGATTATCTCCTTTCCAATTATAAGTAAATCAGTGTGTTATTAAAGCTCTCAAGGCTCTAATCAGTCTGTTACTAGAGCTCAGTCTGCAGGACGTTTTCATTTAGCTGATCCAAATCCTGCATTTGTGATCTTCAGATTATCTCCTTTCCAATTATAAGTAAATCAGTGTGTTATTAGAGCTCTCAAGGCTCTAATCAGTGTGTTACTAGAGCTCAGTCTGCAGGACGTTTTCATTTAGCTGATCCAAATTCTGCATTTGTGATCTTCAGATTATCTCCTTTCCAATTATAAGTAAATCAGTGTGTTATTAGAGCTCTCAAGGCTTGAGCAAAATTTTGTTTTAAATTTTTAAAGCCCTAAAATCAACCATTGTCTCTACGTTGCATCTACTGAAGAGTATATTGTTCGGTTGAGAAGATGTAAACCAGTAAAATTATGTCAAATTAAAGTGTGTTTTACTTTCAAAGGCTTGTACACGGTCTTCACTTCCATTAAAAGACCCTCCCCCCTCCCTCTAAAAGAGTGTTCTTGCATTCAGTAAGTATTGGAATTTAAGGAAAGGGGGGTAACCGGAGTACTAGTAAAAATCTCTAACAGCAACCTCAACGTGCGAACAAGGGTCACAATTGTGGAATGTGGGTGCTTTCACCGATGTACCGCCCCATTTTTAACCAATATATTTTGTATTTGTTCCTAAATAAAAGATCACTGAATTTGGTTCAACGTACGGTTGGGCTTGCTCAAATTGAAAATAATGACCGATGTATAGGTCACGCGTTTTGCACTGCTTTCCCTTCCTGAAGAACATAATGTCGGGAAAACCTTAGAAAATGTCATGTCTGTGAAATTTTGTTCGTCGAAGCTATTAAGAAAGAGCACAGTGCTACGTAGCATTATGTAAATATAGGAAAGAAAACCCTAATTCCACACTAATTTGGTAAGGGGATTAAGCGAAACTAGTCTCTTAACACGTATTCTTCAGAAAGTTCTTCCGTCCCTTTCGACCCTTACTTTCCAGTTATTTGTACCAATGACGTTTAATCACAGACAATTAGCATTTCAGGAACACAAGAGATTGGATGCGGATACCGCTACGTAGAGTGCGACCCCCTGCCTCCCATGATTTTTAAATGGGCATTCTATAGCCCAGAACAATGTTTACTTTCTTCAGACTATCTTATTGGTTTACATAAGGAACGTTGTTGCTTCATTGAATCATATCGTTACATACACTATGCACAGCTTTTCATTTGTGAGCCCAACAACATCAGTCTGTTAAGTGAATTCCACTCAGTGCAGTTGACTCGTATTTCCGCATCACGTAGACGATGACGTGTTATTTATAGACCCTGAAACAGGTTTCCCTACCTAAGACGATTAGACGCTTCGTCATTTTAATATCTCATCGCTGCTTTTAATGCAGAGGATATGGTTTCCTAGAGAATTTTGAGTCTTCTGGCCCTTACATATTTCTTGCACACCACAGGTATGGATATATGTATACCCTAGAGACGTCCAATATGAAAAAGATCTGTCTTTTTAGCTCGATTTTTATGGTTCGTGCCAGGAGAGTTGTAAAGCGTTTGAATAAGTTAGATCATGCGCATACACTTGAACTGCAAATTGCGAGTGGAGAAATGTAAAGAGATCCGATGACTGAAATTAATGAATACAACCGAAAATCACCGAAATTCGTGATAAATACTTGATCTAATCAATCAAGAACATCGATCTTTACCTCTCAGAGTTCTGCTACTCGCATTGAATGAATCTTATACTACGAGTCTTATTGGAATGCAAACTTATATAGCTGTTCATAAATTTTAATATCCCGGAACGATCACGTACTATATAATACGTAATCTTAGAAGTCTACGGCCACAGTTTCCGTATACCGGTATGGTGTTCCCTGGGGAGGGAAGAAATACGATCTCCCCTAAAAACGCCTGCGGGGGAGGCAAGGTTATCGGACAGGTGTTCATACCATGCCGAGTAGCATTTTGTGGCGGCATGAAAAGCTATCCGGTTAAGTATGTACCAAGCCTAAGTCAGGCATTGGCAGTCACTTGTCAACGAGGCTTGCGCGTGAATTTGTTGAAAGGCATAAAAACAAAATTCACGGTGCCTTAAAAATATTAATAAATTTGAGTAAGTTAGGTGCTATTTTAGCCGGGTACTTTTACATTTATTCCTAATTTACTTTTACTCCTAGAACTGCTTTTGTATTCCAAAGACCTTGTTCTTGCGGGAGGAGAACGTATTAGTTTTTACTTAAACATTCTTAACGTTTTGTTGATTTGCAGTGAATCGCCCTTGTCCATGGTGAATCCATGTTATTTTGCCAGGTAAGAGATACGCAGAACGCGGCGTGTTTCAAATGAAAGTTCTGACTTCAGACTCAAAACAGCAAACTTAAAAGAACCGCCTTGTACAGTAAATCACCACAGGAAAGTATTACCCGGCAGCTTTCAACCGAATGATCACACTTAGCAT